TAAGCAAATTGTATTTTGTAGAACAAACATTCTAAGAAACTAGTCGTTGGGTGAAGAAGATTGTTAGCATTTTGATATAATACATGAGCACAACGTCGGCTATAGAAAACATGAAGAGTGAAATACATGTACATTTGCAGGAATATCAGGACACACGCATCAGAAAGTAAGATTAGGCAATAGAAATATTAAATAAATAACTCAAAGTATTTACAGCTTCGATTGTTCTTTTAAGGCTTTCGAACAGACCGAATTCATATCGTTGAGAGCTCTCTCTAACTCTTTGGCGAATCTGCAAAAACCCGTGTGAGATTCACATTTTTTTCAATTCAAGCCGATGCTTATGGATGAAAGGTTGTTCCACTTACCTTTTTGAGCTAGTTGACCCGCAACTCTTAAATGTACTGATTGTGAAATGAAGTTCTGTCTCTTGAGGATTGTAGCAAATTCCATAACAATCAGGAGCTGATGGACCGAAACACATCATCAGGAAATGTCGAGTTGGTACCTTGAAAGTAGTTTTGTTTGTTTTTGGTAAAAACTTTGACTCCACGTACTTGGCTTGTAGAGATTTGGAAGTGAGCCATGTGCTCGTACGCACTCGTTTGAAGGATCGACGGAGTTGGTAAGCCATTTTCGTTAGCCAGCAACTTCCAAGCTAATAGATGCCGGTCCAATCCATTTCCATTCATTGAGTTTACCTAATACACATGATGCTTCTTCAAAATACTTGTGTAACATACGGTATATGTTTTATGAGATTCAGCAGCTGCCTTGAGAGATTCATATAGTTGGGGAATTGAGAGGCGTTTGGAAGTCATCTGAAAGAAAAGGAGGTTGAGATTGAGTTTAGAATAAAAGAATACATTTTTCACAAAGGCAGCAGCCAAGGTGTTGGGCGAGCGAATATTCTCAGTGCGACCCTCATCGAATTTCCGAAGAGTAGCCGTTTCATAAGTTGGTCCAACTGAAAACAAAATGTTTTGTCATAGCATATAATGAAACAACATACCGCAAGAGTGGATACGATAATAAGCCAACTGGAAAGCCATTTGAATAAACGAGTCAGGCGAGATTTTAACAGATTTTGGGAAATTCTTTCCATAACGTTTAAAGGTGTAAGTGACCAAGTCTAAGTCATCGGCAACACTGCAACGAACAGAATTTTGACAGTCCTTCGAACGCTAAAACGAACGCATTGATCTTAGAAGAGCTCTTCTTGATCCTCGTCTTGTCTTCCTCCGTCAGTTCGAATTCGAGTTTCTCAACATCGCCAATATTTCCTGACACATCTTTGTCAAAGGACTCATTTGTTCTGTAACGATAATCAGATTTGAATTCAGAACTCAAAACGAAAGTTACATTTGATCACAAACATAATCCATCAACGCAGCCACTGGAGGTCCCTCAGCTGGAGTGTGTTCATAAGTCATTCCACATAACCCATTACTTCCAATAACAAACTGAAAAAAACATCTTTATTGTTCGTCAAAAATCACCAATTAGTAAATCCAATTACCTGAATAGTCTTATCGAACCAGCGATTACCCGAATTGTTGTTTACACCTCCACCATGTAGAACCTAGAGAACAGCAGGATTAATTCATTTGAAGGAACTATTGTAAAATGAAAATAATCACCCACTTGACGAGCTTGTTCATCTTTCTCGGAATAACCACGTAGAGGATCAGTACCTTGATCGAGACAAACAACAAATAATCCCTCTTCGATCAAATTCAAGTTTTCTTCGTTTTGACGATTCTCTGAAATGTCACCGTTATTGTTGTCTTATTCTTCAATGAATGCTCACTTTTAAGGTTGCGATAGGTTGCAGCCCATCTGTCTCTACCATCGGAAGAAACAACTCCTATGGGATATTCCGCCTTCTCCTTGCTGTTCTCAACGATAGCAGCAAACTGTTGTTTCAATGCTGCCAAGCTCAAAGGTGCATAGTTCTTATCCAATACGTCCATTCGGAAAATCTGAAGTCATAAATTTAATTGATACTCTACCATTGCTCTGTGCGATTCACAATCTGTTTCTTGACATTGAAATCAAAAAGTAAACAAACTTTTCTCAAACAGTAGAAAACAAGAACATGTGATTCTGAAGTGACTGACCTGTCCATTTCTCATGACAACAGCATGACGGGGTTTGTTTTGACGAGAAGAGCCATATATAATTTCGTCACAACCTGAATTCAATTAGAAACCAAATCAATTTCGTTGATCTCAAATCAAGAATTACCTTCTTTGGGTACTCTTGTTGTTCCAAACAGATATCGGTATTGACTCATATCGAACGGCACTTTCCCGGCCATATCCTGAGGTAGTTCATCACTAAAGCAAACAGAGCAATAACCAATTGGAAATACGAACAAACCGTTCAATCAATTGATGAAATAGAGTGGCAGCTTGGGATATTTTGGCTGCATATTCTATCTGACCCTCGATACCTTTATAAGGCAAAGTTGGCATGAGAATGCCAGGTGATGTTACAATTGGCAATGGTGAGCGAGCAGCAAGATATGCAATATCTAACCACCAGGGAGTCAACTGAAGGCATTCAATTAGAATTAAGTACAAATTACAGAATGACAATAGAGCTGATACTCATGATAGAACATTGACAGTAAACATACTAACCCAATTGCTTAGCCTAGACGCTCGTTTCTCGAGCAGTTCTTGCAACTTTGGGAGTTCATTTGCTGCAAACTTGCTCACAATCTGAAAATAATATGATGAAAGAAAAAAATATAATCATCAAGAACCTTTCTAGTCTCCTCGAGCTCTTTTGGAGATTGGATAGCTGCGGAGAATTCGAGGAAATGCTTCAACGTGGTTTCAGCGCTGGGGACAGGTAGCTTTGGTAAAGAAGCATACTTCTTGGTTATAGTAGAGTAGGCAACTGAAAGAATAAGAAATTAGTCTTCTGAAAAATACAAGAGGAGATGAATGGAGAACTTTTCATTGAGCAAATCAGAGAATATACGTGAGCCTAAGATTCATTTTCATGAAATGAAATATACGCAGAGATGCGGATACGTCATTCACGTGCCACGTGAAACCACGTATGAAGAGAGTAATTTAATAACGCCCGTCAAACACATTTCATTTGCTACTCCAGTCAGCTAGTGAATGGTTGTGCTTAATAAGAAAAAAAAATTTTTTTCAGTTTTTTTCAGAAGGAAATTCAAGCATCCGTGTTTGTTCTTCTGTGAGCACGTCACAGAGGTTCAACTCATTGTGTTTCAGGAGAATATTAATGTTCTAACTAGGACCTTTGATGTAATTTTCAAGCTATTCTTTACTAATGACTATGCAGATGGCCTTTATTCATATACAGACTAAAGACTTTCCGACGTTTAAGCTATGACGCGCCTCGGATTTCAAAAGGAAGATCAGAAGATGAATAATGGAAAGATTGAGGATCTAAATAATCTCGCTGAGCAGAACGCAACGTGGTTCAATAACCCTTCATCTCGTTCTTCGCGCATTACCAAATTCTCTCTTTTCTTTATTTTTCTCTTTCTATTCTATTTCTCGGCTGTATAAGGTGAGTGAATTTGCATTTCTTATGTTTCATAACATATTTTGAACACAAAATTGAAAATGGGTACAACTAACCAGACTGTTTGTGAGTGATGCTAGGACTGTTACTTGATGATTGTGAGAATGTCGATACTGATCCAAGCACTGGTCTTGTCATCTGAAAGATAATACAATTATATCTTTATAATTGACAAAAGGACAGATTCTGAACTATGACGTCAAGTAACAGATGCTTGGCATGCTGAACAGCAAGCACTTCGAACAATAACTTGAACATTTCAAAAACCGCGAACTTTGAACTAGCGTGACCAGGGTTGAAAAAACAAAAATGAAATAGATGAAGAGCAAGTTATCTCAAAAACTATCATTCACATAATGAAAGCGACGACTCTGAGAATGATTGTAAGAATGGACTTGATTACCTATTTATAACATTTGACTCTTTTCGAAAATCTCTTTTCACTTTCATCTTTCTAGTGACCACAACGTATTTTGTTCCATGTTTGATAAGGAACTTGTTCTTTATATATCGAAAAGCATGCAAAGCAGAAATAATCTTTGTCCCGAACTGTTTCGTTTCGATTGACTCATGCACATCATACAGACAACGAAAAACTGATTTGCATCAATTAAAAACTTAATTAAGAGCATATACATTCTATATCCTACGCCATTTGCAACCTAATTATAATCCTGAAGAAATGACTGAAAGCTTTAACATTCAAAAGGCTTCACTCAATTTCCTCACTAGCTCTCCTCATTACATTTTTGGCTCTCAGCTTCATGATCATCTCAAGAGGAAAGCATTGTCGCTTCCCTTTCGAAAAGAAGCAAAGATGACGCGTTGATGAAAAGCAAGAAGGCATAGGAAACGTCTCAAAAACAACAAAAAGTTTCAGAGCTTCTCAATCATGAAAATATCATTTGAATATGAAACTGTTGGTATGTAAGTGAGATGAATGAGATGAACGAAAAATGATTTACCATTTGTGAGCTGCTACGGCTTCTTAGTCGATTAACAAAGCTAACAACTTTCGAGATCCCTCGTTTAAGTAAGCGGATAATCATAATCAACTGTTAGTAATCGAAATGAGGTTATAATACGAGGTTCAATATCAGAAAACTTCTGCAGCTCAGGTAGCAGTGTTTGTAGCACGCTGAGAAAGCAAAAATAGAAGTGAAGACGAGGAAGACTTCACGTTGTTTCTTTTTTATCGACGTCATCTGATTACCTCCTCTTTGATTACTCTTTGATCGTCTGCCTTGTATGAGTAGGAAGTCTGTTGTATGCTCTCTGTTTGGCACTTCTTCGCCTCTGTAGATCAATAGCTTACTGTCCGCTCAAAAAACATCGCTAATTCCTTTATTTTTTGCGTTGAAAACATATGAAACAGACACCTCAAGTGACATTTACAGAACGCACCGAAGGAAGAGTTCTCAAGAAAGAGAGAGAGAGAGGTAGAGATAGAGAGGACGACTGTTACATTTGCTCATCAAGTGAAAGAGTACCCGATAGCTTTCTCAAAGTAATCTCAAATCCTGTCAAAGAAGTGGAAAGTATGAAAAAAAAGGAAAAAGAAGAGCCAATTGAGTGAATTGTCTCATCGAAGCCGTTTGAAACAGTTTTTCGATGGAGACGCAACTCATGTTGATACTTTCAATTCTTGTATTACCGAGGGAAGCTATGGTAACAAGAGAAAGACAACAGATGTTTTCAGTCGGGAGACAACAAAACAATGGCCAGCAGCTTTTTGCAATGAAGTAAGACCTAATTGGAGATAAAGAAAGGAATAAGTGATCATTGAGTATATAAGCAATCTCGCGAGTCATCAATTCGAAAATACACGTCAATTTTCCTAATATAGACGTTCTTTCGATCTTTCAACCCCCCGACTACTTGATAGACCAAGTGAAGAAGAGACAAAGTACAAAATATTTGTTTTTTCACGTATTTTTCAATCACAAGTCAAAGTGATAAAAGAAAAACAGAAAAGAAGTACATAGCTATAGTCGTCTGAAGTTATTGGTTAAGGAAATGAGCTTACGAAGTAGAAAAGGTATTTGATGTTATAGTGTTATCATCCTTGAGAGGAATGATGAGCAAATTGAAAAGAAATTATTTAATCGCTGAAAGACTGAGAGAGAGAGAGAGAGATGATGAGAGAAAGAGAGAGAGAGGGAGAGAGAGAGAGAAGATGAAGAACAAGAACAAGACTACAAACTGGTCTAAAAAAGAAGTTGTAGCACATGAAAGCAAATAGAGATAATTGATAATACAGTTTCGCTTTTCATAAATAGAAGACGAGAAGACTGAACCATATCGGATCGGAGAGAGAGAGAGAGAGAGAGAGTGAGAGAGAGAGAGAGAGAGGCCTTGTAGGATAGAAAGTCTTCACATGAGTTAAGGTTTCTACTATGTCTGTTGCAAATTAACTTTATCTTGAAAGTAATAAGAATGTGATTGGACAAACATCGTTCTTCGACTATCAAATTACTTTTTTCTTTCGAAAAAAACAATAAGAAACAAACCTGATGGAAAGCTGCAAGACGGAATGCGAGCATGGTTGAAGTGGTGCTGTTGGTAGCCAACTATTGTTTCCAGCAATTTGTCCAATAAAAAAAAAAAGAGAATATGAGCTAATGAATTGGTGTCTAAGGGTTGTGTTTGAAGAATTTCCTTAATAGGAATTCAGAAATCACCTAGAAAGATAAATTTTGAGATAACGAAAACGAAAGAAAAATTTAAGGAAAAGAATGCGAACGCAACAACACAACGGTCAAAAACGGCAATGGACATGAGACTGGATGTGATTGCTTCACTCCTATTTCCTTCATTCAATTCAATACTCTTTCTACTTTCATTTTCACTTTACTCCCTCTCTCTTCCTCTCTCTACCTCTCTTTCTCGTCTTCTCTCCCTCTCTCTCTCCCTTTATCTAACTATTTGCTATCTTCTATCTACCGCTTGTCTCGAAGAGATAGGAAGCATAGTAGACTGAAAATGAACGAAAGACGTCTCACTCGAGCCATGACCAATACAAAGAAACAACAACTGGCCTCAGGGGCTTTTTCCATGTCTTGGAAAATGCGCCTCAAAAACGCGACGCACATGTATGCGACGCGCTTATAGCCCCTTAGGGTTCACAAAAAATTCCACAAAAACGAGCAATTGAAGGAAGTTAAGGTACAAAAGTCATAAGTTATGTTGAAAAATGCAATAAGGAACATGAAAAATGACATGTAAACCATTATGATATCAAACGAATGACTGCATTCACTGTTGTCCAGGCATGAGGTTAATTGAACGCTGGAGGGCAATAAACATCTGCCTTTGTGTATGCGTGAGAGAAAGTAGTAGCAATAGAGAATGAAAGCTTGAGAATGAATGAAATAGATCGAGAGCTAACAGAACAAAAAAAAAATTTTTTTGTGAAAACTGAAACGAGACGAGCAGCTGAGGATCTAATCCAACATTTTTCTAACTTTTGGCCAACCGGAACTAGAACGCTATTGATGAGGTGGAAGAAAAAATAAATAAAAAAGCCTTTCGAGATGAATAAGCTGAGAAAAAAACTTCTATTTTTTGCTTTTTCTCTTACATATTCTATGGCTTTCTGGTCAGGCAGAAGTATCGTGACAGATTATACCAACAAAACAAGTTTTTATGAATTTAGAAACTTTCTGGCTAAGTCAATGTGTGTCTTACTAATATAACCAGGAATATGTCACGTGAACTCACGTGGAACGCGTGGAATTCACATTTCATTTTGAGTTTCAATAGACAGAATGAACGGTTGTGCTGAGTCAGAGAAGGAGCAACAAAAAAAAACAATTTTGAAACCATTTAAGAGAAGCTCATAAATGAGACGAAAGAGTATTAGTGGCTAATCGATAGAAAATTAAAAAATGGATGGGAGAGGGTGGAAGAGAGAGAGATAGAGAGAGAGAGAGAAGTAGAGAAGAAGACATAGAAGGGTAAATGATTAAAACAAGTTGAAATCAATACAAAACAAAGATGCGCAATGTTGCAAACGTTGTAATCGACCTTTGAACTTTGTATTCGCCGTACATCTTCCTTTATCAAAATGTTTTTTTTGGATTTTGTAATGAGTAAGGTGGATTATTGATTGGTTGACAATATTGGGATTAAAGTAATTTGAATATTAAAGGAGATAATTGATTATCGATCATCTGATTGAGTTCCGGATGAGCTTTACACATCTCACTTTCACTGTTATGATGTATTAGAGAAAACCATATCTTCCATTCAACTGTTTCATCATCCTCCTCATCCACATCATCTAGTTCTATATGAATAATCAGAAGAGAAGATTAAAAGTTCTTTAGTTTTTGAAAAGTCAATTGACTGCTGTTACTCATAGACAGACATATGTTGACCAGAAACACCCCAAAAACCACTAGATTAGGTCAAGTCAGAGCTGATTTTGTTACAAAATGACCATTTCGACAACTATTTTGTTGATTAACTATGCTGTTTATTAATAAACTGTATATAACTATACTATAAGAGATGACCTTATATGGAATAAGTTAGAGAGAGAGAGAGATGTGAAGAGAGAGAGAGAGAGAGAGAGAGAGAGAGATAGAGAGAGTTAGATGAAAACAGATAGGCTTCTCGTTTCTTGTACGTTGTTCTCATTTGTGCTTATTCAATTTCTAAGCTATTTCATTTCAGCTTCATTTGGTGTTATTTTGAATGTCAAATCACGAAATGGCCACCTTTCTTCCTCATCTCACTCATTCACTCTCTCCCTCTCTCTCTCTCTCAGTTCTCTTTCATCTTTATCTTAAAGAAAACAATGAAAAATGTGTCAGAAATGAGAAAAATTAATTTTTCTGCTCATCAGTTGAGTGTGATTTACAACATTGACCCAATGGTAAGGCCCATATTTCATCGTTTCCTCTGCTTTCTATGAACCGGCTGATTGACAAAGAGCTTCATCACATAGAGCTTATTATCGAATTATCTGACTTCTGTTACTTTCTTTTTCCAATTCATTTCCATCTCATACCTTTCTGATGACACACCACAAACACAACCGCTCACTATTCCATTCATTATTCAAGAATGAAAATGCTCACTTGTCTTAAGCTTTCCGTGAACTTCCATATATGATTCTCCTTAGCAACGTGTAAAATTTTTTTTTTTATTTCATTTTCTTTCGAATCAACAAATGAATAATTCACCTTTGATATATCAATTCTGAACATACTAAATGAAAATTCATTAATTTCTTGTCTTTTCTTACCTTGCTCCGATTAATTAATAACAGATGTCACGAAGAGAGCCAAATGAAAGCTTTGCGACAACTGTAAGTTGCAGCTGTTACAACTGAACTTCTCACATTACCTAAATATAGTTTTGCTATTGCCATATAAGTCATTTCATTTGATGATGATGTTGATGATGATGATGATGATGGGAATTAGGAAACCATATTTGGCTTTTCAACCATGTTTCTCTCTCTCTCTCGTTTCATTTCGCACTTGTAAGATGTTGCTTCAGCCTAATAAGCTTACAACTATATAAACTTAAGTATTACTTCGTATTTTCTAATTTAAGGAATGACTTTTTCAATTAAATATTTCAATGCATTTTCGTGTGTTGCTGGCAATTCTTCCTTTGTCCATAATTGGATGAATGAAGATCATCACCATGGGGTGCCAGATGCCAAAGTATTCTTACTTACAACAATAATCATTTGGCAGACCGACACAAAAAAAAAAGTTTTTAAACATCTTTTTCGTGAGCCTTTCTCTCCACATACTTACTCAACCCCTCTCCTTGCCATCCACCAAATACAATGAAAAAGTTTTTTTTCCGCAAAAGAAACGAAGACTGAACTCCAATTAAGATGAATCATTGATTGTGTAGCCTCAACTTGGTTTTACTTGATCATTCAGCTCATAGACACGCTTCCATCTCTCTCTCTCTCTATCTTACTTCTTCTCTCTCAACACACATCTGCAGTTTTGACGACAAAAATGGAATTTCAATTGTTTTCTTTACTTTTCAAGATTTCTTCAATTAGACTTCTCTTACATCATAAGCTGAGGAGGATTATAATGAAAATACAAACATTGTATTTTCCTCATTTCCTTTTTCTTTTCATTTCTGATCCATTAAACTGTGAGATTGGAGATTCATTTTCCATTTGAAAATTGTTTTGTACGTGTTGGTCTTGTTACATTCCATGTGCATGTGATTACTTTCTTAGTCAATTCACTAACTATCTCCCTCCCTTTCTCTCTCTCTCTCCCTCCCTCCCATCCCTCTCTCTATATATATCTACAAGTTATTGTTTGAATTATCATGTTTTCGTATAATTGATATGTATAGTTAAGTCAAGCAGATTTGAAAAGCACTCTGTGATTCCCTCGAGAGATAACAGAAATGAAATTGCTTGTTTTAAGTTTGTGTGGAAGAAGCAGCAGACGTCGTCTCGGCTTAGAACGTCTTGTGAACACAAGAAAACGAATAAGAAAGAAGGATGAAAATGTTTTTTCCTTTAATAGTATGTAATGGATTATATATTCTTCAAATGAATTCTTTCAAATCTTGATGAATGGAACGTCTTTAGATGGAATACAGAACTTCCATAATCCCATGCTCAGTACACACTCTCCCGTCCTCTCTTTCTCTTTCATCAAAAATGAAATAGAAAACATATTAATTATAAATATGATATAATTAACATTCCACTTCCATATATGTCTCTAAAGTACATTATTCGTTAATTCATCATGTCACCTTTACTCTTCCTCAACTTCCACCATCTCTCTTTACCGCTCTCACTCTCCTCTTTCTCTCTCCCTCTATTCATTAGTCCATTAGCTCATTCTTTCATCTCATCTGACCCACATTCACGTGAACTCCTGTTGGTTTTACGTGGAGTTTCACGTATGCCAATTAACTTTCATTTCTATTCGTATTGGTGTGATGATCGGTTGTTCCTTCTTCTATCACTCTCTCATCCATCTTCCAATTCATTCTAATTTACTCTTATTTAAGGAATTAGCAAATGCTTTAACATATTATCACGACGCCCAAAGAATCATTCACTTTTCACTTCAACATGTTTCCATTGCTTCTCCTTGTTAGCTTTCTCTCAGCTGGAGCACTCCCAGATGATTCGAGGAATATTGAAAAGGTAGATATCATGATGACGTTGTTGCCGAAATGTAATATTCTTTAGGCTCTTATAGCTCAATTTGAGGGACAAGGAGAAATCCAAACACAAGAAGATCTCATTCGCCAGATTGGTCCTTTCGTAGATGTGCCGAAGCTGAAACATCGTAACTATGAAGAAATGACAAGTTTTCTAAAGGTGTGCTTCAAGTTTTGGTACATTTCTAACTTTTTTCAATTTGTAGAACTTGACAGCGTCCTATCCTCACTTGACGTACTTATACTCAATTGGAAAATCGGTTGAAGGTCGGCAACTCTGGGTTTTAGTAATATCAAAGTACCCGAAAGCTCATAAAGAAGATGTTCCTGAGTTTAAGTATGTGGCTAACATGCATGGAAATGAGGTGCGGGAAAGACAATCGAAAAGTGAAATCATTTGACTATTAGGTTACTGGAAGAGTTTTTTTGCAAAGCTTAGCATGGCTTTTGCTCAATAACTACGATACGAACAGATGGATTCGTAGGTTAGTCGATACAACCAGAATTCATCTGATGCCCAGTATGAATCCAGATGGGTAAGGCTAAATGCCAACGAAACCATTTCAATGTTTCACCTGTTGTAGATATGAAAAGGCTTATGAAGGTGATGATTCGGGTTTAGATGGTCGTAAGAATGCGAACGGAATTGATCTGAATCGCAGTTTCCCTAGCAGGTAGTGAGAACCTTGATATGATGAGTGCATCATTCACTTACAGATTTCCTAACTTCTTTCCTTCCGTACATATGCAACCAGAGACACAAGCTATCATGGATTGGAGCAAGCAAATTCCATTTGTGTTATCTGCTAATCTTCATGGTGGAACAACAATTGGTTCGTTAGATATAATGAATAGAAGGAGAATCAAAATATTTCAGTCAACTATCCATTCGACGATTATCCGAGCAGAGTCAAAACTCATTTCTATTCACCAGCTCCTGATAATGGGATCTTTGTAAGATTAGCATATTCATATGCTCGCAGTCATACAAGGATGTGGAAGAAAGTAATATCAGAGAGTTGTTTATTGAAATTAATTTTAAATTGAATAGGGTCCCAGATGCATAAGCGATGATCTGAATATGATGAATGATCCCCAATATGGCATAATTAATGGAGCTGATTGGTGATTACAGAGATTTCGTTTGATATTCCTTTAACTATGCTATTCACAGGTATATAGTGGCTGGTGGTATGCAAGATTGGAACTATCTGAATACCAACTGCTTTGAACTGACAGTTGAAATCAATTGCTTCAAATTCCCAATGGAGAAGGATCTTCGATTTATATGGAACGAAAACAAATTCAGTTTATTGCAGTTCATCGATCAAGTTCATAAGTTAGTTCAAAATATCAGACATAGAAAACAAGCTGTGTTATAGTTCCATACATGGAAAGGTTGTGAATGCTGAGAATGGTATGGGAATTCCGAATGTGACCATTTCCATAGATGATGAATCGAAGATCATCATAAGTTATAAGACAGGCGAATTCTGGAGATTAATAAATCAAGGAACATATGAAGTCTATCTATACATATATCTTCTTTCATATTTATATTCGTTCTAGGTAACATTCGATCATCCAGCTTATCACTCTCAGAGTCGTCGAGTGACAATAACTCGCGACCGTCGATCTCTTTATTTGGCAGTTGCATTGAAGCCATTGAATTCTACTAGAGATATGGAAAGCCGTCGTAAAAATTCTGAACGAACAGTGATATCTGATAGAAAGTCTTCACAGCCAACCAAAATACAGCAAGTAAGCTATCTCAATATTCAAATTAAAAACAATCGGTTGTTGCAGAAGCCATCTCCGCATCTTAAAAACAATCATATTCCACTCAGTGCAAGTTCATTCAAATCTTTCTTTCTATTTATCAGCTTCTTAGTATTGTTATAGAGAAGAGAAGCAAAAGCTTCATTTCTCGAAGACTCCTTCAACCTTACCTAATTCGGTGTTTTGTTGAATTCCATGAATACATGATATGTTAGCCATAATTAGCTTAGATAACATATTTTTCATTTTTCTCGCTTCTCAGAGTTTTACAGTGCCTTCATCAAACAGTTTTTTATATTCTTTATTCGCTCAGACGGAATAAACTTTTGTTTTACAACATACATTCCATAGAACCATTCGATAGTTACAGCAACAGACTACCTTGCACAACGACGAAGTTGTCGCATAGAAGGAGATGCTGATGATTCCAAGCTCTATCAGAACTGAAATATTTCCATGTCTTAATTTATCTTCATGGGAAATGCCCTTTGCAATCTCATGAGGAATTGCAAAGCGCAACTCACGTACTTCCGTTCCACTTCGTTCGCAGAGTCAGAAGGATGGAGGTAGTGGCTAAGCAAGCTGGCAACAGAATGGCCAAAGTAGGAATGACAACCTAGAAGTGTGTCATGAATGTCAATTGGTGACAAACTAAGATGATACTTGAGCAATTAGAACGTGAGTGAATCGTTTCTGGATAAGACGTGCCTGTTTACTTGCTGTATTGCTGGACACTTCATTGACTAGCTTCATGCATATTACAGCGATTATCAAAGCAACAAAGTGTTCGAAGACTGCAATCAACTGATACGCTAACTCATTAACAAACCCTCAAACTTCCTAAAAAGGCTATGAAGAGGATGAGCGTATGATACAAGCTTTTGATCTGGACGACACATACTGCTCGGTTTGTAATGATTTCATGGGACCAAGGGTGATTCTTCAATATACGCAAGCTGTTCATTAATGAGGGCAGTCTCTAACCTCTAAGAAGTATTGCCGACTGTCTTCTTGATTGGATGTGATAAAGATGAAGAACAAGGGTACCGCTGTTACTGAGAACACAATGTTCAAAGCAATGATATACCGTACATCAGTTGAAATAAGTTTGAAGAAGGTATTAGCTTTGAGTAATGTTCGAAATCGTTGATACAATAGAATATGGGATGTTGATATGGAAACGTAAAGGAGGATAATGATTAGAACCTGGGAGGGATAGAAGGTTGGAGACCATAGAGTTCAACTTACCACTTGTAAGTTTATGGATGTGGGACTGTCAAAGAAACCGTAGACGATGATCAAAATGTGAGGGATGAAGGCGAAAGGCCGACAAACGAACATCACGATATCCATAAATGTCAAAATTACCTTCAAAAGACATTTTTTAAGCTGTTATGGCATTCATGCAAGATAGACCTGCAGGACGAGGAGAGTGTCTCTGATGGTTTTCATCGCTAGGGGTGTCTTCGTATAAATGAGAATGAAAGTAGAGATATTAATGAAAACTGATAATGGGCCAAAATAAAAATAAAAATTTCCAAGATCAGTAATTGATTGAGGATATCTGTAAGCTTGTAGAACTTCATCGATGTCATCTGCGTCCATCTCGCGTCAAACAAAACGAGAGAAATGAAGATGAGAGCGGAAAAGCAAAACAACTAATTAATTGAACTTCTCTATTCATGTTGTATCTTCATTCTGAGAATAAAAACGTTTTTTGATAAATATGCAGATTTCCATATTAGGAAGGGAACGGATAGAATGCGACTGACGAGGAAGGGAGGAAGGGTGGGGGGTGAGTGAGGTGAGACTGCAGAAAGGGATTGAGATCACTTTCTTCAATTATTTTTCCTTAATTGGCTGTTTATTTTTGAAATGTTTGAGTGAACTTTGAGATGAATCGATCACGAGTCGTGTTGGAGATATTTTAATAAAAATATTTAACTATATGTTAGTTAACTATGTATTAAGCAGACTGCTATCAATGAGAACGGATTAGAAAAAGGTTTAATCAATCTCTTTTCACCAAATAAGAGAAAGCAAGCAGGAGAGAGGGAGAACGAACCTTCAAGCATCTCTCGTTGTTCTCTCTCTTTCTCTCTATATATCTCTCTCTCTCTATTCGTTCTCATCAACTCTTCTTCTATTTTGCTTTTTCGACTACTTCCCAACCGTTTTCTACCTTTTCTTCTTCTCTGCAACGAGCCAAATATTTTTTTTGTTTGAAAATGTTTTTCAAAAGCTTTTTCATACAATATCAAAACTGATAATCTTTTCTGCTTCAATTACCTCCTCTATACATCTCTCCCTCTCTCCCTCGCGCTCTCTTTTTCTCACCTGTTATAAGCCTCATCTTCATCGATTTCTCTCTCAAATGCCTTTTCGACTTTCCCAATTCCTTCTTCTATCATCATTTTTTTACTTAACTCATTCATTTTATAATTACTGTTTAAGGAACTTTTATTGGAGCAATGATTCTCATGATTGTTTCCGCCTTGCTTGCAACAGGAACGTTTGGAATTGTCAAACTTGGCGTTTTAAAATCGGATGGAGAACCAATGGATGCTTGTAGGAGAGCTATAGATCAAGCAATAGCAGAAGGAAATTGCATATCTGAAGAAATTACGTAAGAGAATGCCCCTTTACTCCATTCATTCATCGTTTCAGACTCCTTTATCAGAACAGTTGTATAACAGATTCTCAAGTCGCTGGAACTCTCAATGCGGCTAAACTGTACTTCAACGACGAGGTAGGCTATAGTTTTTTGTTTTTGCATAGTCCACCTTGCTACCTTCAGATCAATGCGTTCATTGGCCCACCATGTATAGATGAGTTCCAAGAACTAGGGCGTTTAACTTATTTTTGGAAAAAACCAATGTTTGGTCGGAAGATGGCCAGTAGACGAATGCTCGATTACGAAGTAAATCAAATGAATGTCCTGCTCCTTTTCTCATAAACGGTAGTTTTCAGATGTACTCGAACATAGCTCAAATGTCATTGACTACATCCGCAGGATTAGCAAAATCGGTGGTAGAGGTAGTTAAGCGTTTGAGCGTGGATGGAGATATACGCAATGTAACAATGGATTCAGCTTGAAAAGACTACTTGATGAAATTCCAGATTAGTTTGACAGGACCTAATGCTAGAGATCCTGATCATTACCCAGTTGCTCAAGCAATTTATGATTATCTACAGGTTTGTTCAAAGACCCAGTCGATTGTTGTAAAGTTATGTTTGAAGACCGATCCTCTCATACCTATAGCCTTCTTTGGGATGTACAGTGAGAGAACTAGCTATCCATCTGATATGAAAGATAAAATATTTCAAAACGGTTCAAAAGGTATTGCTTCCGCCGGCACAATCAATGAGCTTCTTCTTTCTCTAGTAATTGTTATTGGCGGCGATTTCGAATTTGGAGATTATATGAAAACGATGGAGTTGGACCATTTCACTTCTACGGGACATGTGATCATTGTCGTTTTCACCGAACCAATCAGCTTCTTCTCGGAAACAACTCTCAAGATTCTTTATGACTCAGTTGATATTGTGGTAAGTACATGAAGCTATTACTAAATAGATTCTGAAATGCCCTGACCATTCCATGTAAGACGATGTATTATATACATTCTTGGTTGCAACTGTACTCACCCATCACTCAGTTTCATTCTTAACTGATGGTCTGCACTAATCGGTTGTTTACAATTTGTTTCAGATTGCTCCTCTCTTGGAGCCATATGATAAGTTGTCAGAAATTGTACAAACATTAACAAATAAGAAGGAAGTAAGAGAAATGGGACATTTGTGTAGTTTTGCGTAGGATTTTCAGGAGAAGCTGCCTGATGCGATGTCTCTCTTCCTCTCATGTTATGCATTCTGCTATGGCTCAAAAACCGGATCGATGGGAGATACTCAGAACTATCAGAATCAATTTAAAAATGCGAAAATAAAAAGTAAACAATCACGTGATTGTCGTAAATATTTTTTTCATTTCAGCGGGCTTTGGTACTTTCGAATTCGATGCGAGTGCTTCCCTGCTCACTAATTATGGAGTCTATAAAGCAATTAAGGAATCCGGTAAGAGAGAATTTTGAACGACAGAAACTCCGATGTTCAGGTTCACCTAAGTTGTTGTTTCGATTGACATCTGCCAAGTTCACCTCATGTACAAACACGAAATGTTTTGATTTAGTGAGTTTGATGATACACAGGAGTCTTAATGAGGTTTTGAAGATCATAGGCGATGATGATACATCGGTCGCTATCAATGAGTTCTGGGCATCCTTACAAGCGAAGAAAAAAGCTCTATGCGCATGGACAAGCCAATGTACAACATATCTAGGTTTGCATAATGTGAGATGTAGTTGTATCCCGTTTGTACGCAGGATACTACATTGGATGGGCTTGTGGAAGTTTATTGTTTGTGTTTCTCTATCTGATATACAAGTGGAGAAAACAGTACGTTGACGAAATTAAGTGAGAACAAGGTTGTCTTTACCTTTTTAGAGCGAGGATCAAGTTCTTCCGAATGCATTGGAGGGTTCACAAAGATAATCTGAAAATCATTGACAACGCTGTGAGCGTGCAGCTCATTCTTTCTCAAACGCTCAATTAATGCTTTTAGGGGGCTGTGAGGAACAAAGGTGGTATGGAAGTGGCTACTCTCTCCACAAAACGTCGTGTGATTAACTCATATGCCTTGATTGGAACTATCAAAGCTGAATTCATTGCTCTCAAACAGAAAAAGAAGATCAAATGGTCAAGGTATGATGAAGTTCATGGCTCCTCAATTAGAATTGTGACTTTCAGACAAGAACTCAAGTACGTCTACGAATTGAAGCAGTTGAACCATGACAACATAGCGAAGTTCATGGGCATCTGTTGTAATGAGATGCCTCATTTCTATGTTCTACACGCAGTTATTGAAAGAGCGTCTTTAGAGGTTTGTGTCTCGTCTATGTCAAGTACATGTTCCTCTTAAGGATTTCATAAACGATACAACGTTTGTTATGGATACGACATTCCTTTCGGCATTCATCAGAGATATCCTGAAGGTAGGCTATAACTATGCAATGTATAATTAGCGAACGTATTCTTAGGGGTTAACTTATCTACACAAGTCGCCCATCGGTAATCATGGAATGCTCACTCCTGCCAATTGTCTAGTTGATTCCAATTGGGTATTGAAACTGGCTAATTTTGGAATTGCTTCAATGATTCACGAGTTTGTCAAGAATGGAACTCTAGAACTAGTTGAAATCCTGCCAATCACATGTGCTTTTAAGTTTTCACTGTTTTTCTCAAGTTATATGTGTTACAGTCTACGGATCATTCGCTCCAGAGCTTCTTAAAGAAATAAAACTCGGAAGCAATTACCCCCGAGGCACGGTGGAAGGTGACATATATAGTTTCGGGATGATACTATATCAACTAACATATCGAAAAGATCCGTATGAGGGAAAAAATCTAAAAGGTCTGCTCACTCGTTTCTCGTACTTCAGCTCTGCTTCTTTAAGATTTCAGCGATAGTATAGAACGAGGACAACACATGGTGCCAGAAGTTGATAGTCTTGAAAGTGATGTTTTACATACGGTAATTATAACTCTCATGGGATGACTTAGTATTGAGAAATAGGTTATGGTCCAATGCTGGGATAGGAAGGCTGACTCACGTCCAAAGCTTCGGACTATCCATCAAACAGTGGCTACAGCATTTGCTTCAACGTAAGTAATTCTGGAACATCGCATACATCATCAATCGTTATCTCTAGACAAGGCCATTTGGTTGATCAAATGCTGAAAATGAATGAGCGTTATGCTCAAAACTTAGAGAAAATCGTGGATGAGAAGAACGCAAAGATACAGGAAGCTCAAGAGAAAACAATCCGTTTGTTGAACGAGCTGCTACCGACGTAAAGCAGTTCCGTATACTTGATGGTTTCCATCGTATTTTCAGAACAATAGCGAATGTGTTGAAAACTGGAGGAACAGTGCCACCGAGAACTTACGAACTCGCAACTGTTCTCTTTGCCCAAATTTGTGATTTCCAAACTTTGGTAATTGGAAGTACTCCAGAAGAGGTTATCGACTTCTTGAATCAAATATTCGATAAATTCGATTTGATTATTCGAAAACATGATGCTTATAAGGTTTAATATACGCACAGCTAATAGCAAACTCAATTTTGCATTTGAGGTAGAAACAACTGGTGAAACATACATGGTTGCATCGGGTGTGCCCAATGAAAACGAAGGGAAACACATAACGGAGATAGCAGAAATCAGTTTGGAGATAAGAGAAGTACTTCTATTTTACGTAATTGATCATCCTACTTCTTTCTATAGGCTTCATATGCTTACAAAGTCAATCATATGCCTAATTTTAAAATCAGAGTGAAGATTGGTTTTCATTGTGGGCCCATTGCAGCCGGCGTCATTGGAATTCGATCTCCCCGTTACTGTCTGTTTGGTGATACGGTAAACTTTTTAATTTAAGCAACTAACATGATTGAACTCAGGTTAATTTCTCTTCAAGAATGCAGTCCAATTGCCCGCCAAATCAAATTCAAACGAGTGAAGTTCGTAACGATGTATGAAGCTCTCTAATGATATTGATTAAGGTCACAGCAATCAAACTCATGAATCAAACGAATGAGTACAAACTGGTGAAGAGAGGAATCGTGCAAGTTAAAGGAAAAGGTATCTGACACTCAACCTAATTGATCATCTGAAATATGATCTTCAAGGTGCCGTGAACTGTTATTGGTTGAACGAGCACATACAGGATGTCCACGTTGAACACGATGCTGGATCAAGTCCATCAGAAGAGATTGTTGACGATAAAGAGAAGCTATTAGAAAATATAATGTGAAGTTTGTGAAATTTGCATAAATCGTTTAAAGTTTTGAAACTTGCTGGCGTTACACGTGGAGTTCCACGTATTAGCATACGTGCACTTACTCATTCGTGCTACATTGATCAAAGAATCGGTTGTCTCGTCATGAGTTCTCCGTTAGAAAGGTTTTTAAATCAAAAGTGAATTTATAAATTGATGGTTACAGATCGGTCTATATGCTCTCTGATTTTAATGAATCCGTTTACATCAGTCCAAAATGTTTCTCTTCATTTTTTTCAGAACCGTTTAACCACGTATGTGTTTCAGCTAATGTGCCGAGTTTGGCTGAATCTGATGTGGAATCAACTCTCTCCATTAGATTCGTTCTCTATTTTAATACTAAGGATGGACAGGTATTGATATTTTACAAGTTATTATATAAGTCTCTTATTAGAATATGAGAAAGAAGCTCACTCTCGAATTAGGCGGCAATACTACTGTGTATGAGGCGATGCAGAAGGCTTTCTCACAAGTACATAGCTTGAAGGAGTTCAGTCTGACAATCTATTCCTCTTCTCGTAACTATACATTTAGGGTTAAAGAAATAACTGGGAGAATTTATTATTCCATCTCAGGTTTCGTTGCTCCTGTTGAGCTCGGCAGCGAGTTGGAAGCATAACTGGTTCCCTTAATCACATTCTTCCATATTTCAGAGAATTTAATACAGTTCCTATTCATGATTTGAAACAGTTGTCTTCTATTACCTGCCTCATCTTCGATGTTCGCAACCATGTTGGCAAAGCAAGTATCTACATGTCTCTCCCTCATTCAATTAACTATTTCAGAAACATGGATTAGCTCAAGCTTTCAACTTTTGGACAATTAAAGTTTGATTGCAATATTTACTTAAAACTTCTTTTGTAACAAATAGTATGTCTTTATATAACAAGTAGTATCCAATTTGCGCCGTATGGCTGCAGGGCAACTTGGAATTTGAATGATCTGATATGAAGGTGTGCAGTTTTGAGTTTTATTGAAATGCAAAGTGTTTTTGCTTTGAAAAAGCAGAAAACTAATTGAAAGTTTGTGAATATTTTGTGTTTGATAAGCAATAGTCTTATCTACTTGAAAACACGGAAAGCGATATCTTTCGGCGGATGGAGGTATGAATGAAAATATTTTTCTCCATATTCTTCCAAACCATCTGGGTTGATCGTAGGTGTTACCCACTCAACCTGTATCATATCAATATGAATGAGAAATACAATCATCGCTTACTCTGTTGAAGCCGCATTTCTTGAAATACTCTTCGTACGTATCCCGAAACCTGAAGATGATCTCAGATGAGGCGACAACTTCTATAATCAACAAGGTGTGAGACATAAGGAAAACAATGGATGTCTACCGTCATTGTCATAATAGTGGATCGGAAGTTTTTGGCCATCATATAATGGTCTTTCAGTGACCTCACAAGCTGCTCCTTAACACGATTTCATTATCTGATAACTAGGAAGCAGCTGATTTACCGAACTTCTGCCCTTCTTCAGCTATAGGATTGTAATCAGGAACACCATTAGGAATGATTCCTACGAAGATTCCATCGTCATTCAGAGCATCATATATATTCTTGATTGACTTAAAATGAATTATATAGCAATTAAGAAATAAAATGATGTTTTACATCCTCCAGAACTTCTGTCTCAACGAATTGCAAAACAAAGAAGGAAACGGCAACATCGAATTTGCCGTCTTCATATTCGAAGTCATTCAAAGAACTTTGAACGAAACTCAGATTCTCATCTAAAAATAGAATTGTAAATAGGAAAAGCTCAATACTTCGTATGTACTCTGATAATTTGCTTTGCATTTCGCCACCATATCAGATGATTTATCGAATCCGACAACCTCTTTGGCTCCCCACTCTAGCAGTTTGCAAGTAACTATTCCTATAACAACAGGAAAGAGTTGAAATGGAGATTAATGAAGTAAATCTGACCTGATCCACAACCAGCATCTAGTACACGACGACCTTTGATCAAATCACCATTAGCCAAAACTCTCAATATGGTTGGTTCAACAATGAGTTGTGAACCTAACCATTTCTTTTTAGCTTCAGCATAATGATGTGATGGAAACTCTGAGCCGGAAGACATTCTTAAAGAAAAAAGAAGAAAAAATGAAAACTAAAAGAGTTGTGGGAGTGAAGAAGAACAACAGCAGACGAAGGACACATACTGTGAATGGAGCAAAAATAACATTTGTTAGTCATATTGGAAAAGCATGATATGAATGAAAATCGATTATCAGGTGTAGCTTTATAGTTCCAAAGAAGTTTTGAGAGAGAGAGAGAGAAAGAGAGAGAGAAAAGTAAAAATAAACTACTTGGAGAGAAGTGATCAGATTGAATGGTCAATGCTATCTTATCAAACTGACCAAAATCACTCAATCAAAGTTTCTTGAGACAATTAAAAAAAAAAAGTAAAAAAGTAAAGTGAAAGAAAGAAATCTTTGAGGAGAGAAGGAGGAAGAAAGTTTTTTAATTGGAAAAGTATTGAGGATTAAATGTTATCGTTCGACAAAAAATAATAATCGGATGAAGTGGCATATGAGTGCGAGTGGTTCATGTAATCTCTCGGATATCGAACGGCTCAAACCTTCTTTATTCCATCCAATCATCTATAATCCATTTAAACAATATAAATTGAAAACTATTCAGTTTCACTATTCTTAACAACATCCTGCTGCTCTCTCTACAGATGTTCAAACTTATTTTTGTTGTTTTCATTTGTCTAAGTCAAGTTACCTGTCAAACAGTCGTTTTTGAATATGATGACGATGTCACGAACTATTATGATTCATATACGGGCAAGGTAGATCTCTTCAACGTATGCATGAAAGTATATCAAGTAAGGGTTCTTCCCATTTTCATCACAAAATATAATAAATTAATAATTTTAAGGAAGTCTTCTATCCATTGGTATCCAATCCTATCCTTATAAAGAACATAACAGCTCAGTCTCTCTACAAGTCTGTAGAACAGGCTATGCATGATATCCATCCAAACGTCCAAGTTGTTGAAAATGAATGGAATAGTTAACTTCTGAGCTTTTTAGTTTGCTTGGAACAATATGACTTCTAGTCTGAGAGAAAGAGCCCAAACATTACCATCACCAAAGGTAAGCTTTCAATACTCTCACGTTCTCACGCAGGCCAGCCTATCACGTGACGCAACGATATTTCATTTTCGAAAATATGCAAATGATAAGCGGTTGTTCTCATACTTCTTTCCCCTTTTTTTCAGTTAACTCAATTCGCTGAATGCCTAATCGATGAAGCTGTAAATGGCAATATCTTCTATTACTTCATCAAAGACAAAATTCTATTATGGGTAAAAACAGTTTGTGGGAACTTCTTTGAAGTTTTCCTCCTTTCAGTCAATTCAACAAATCAACAAAATCGGATATGAAGCTCTATACCGTATTTGGTATTACGAGCATAACATATCTGCTGATGTATATGGAATAGTTGAAAACTACTACAACATTTCAAGTTTAGATGCGACATTCAGGTAGGATATACTCAGTGAACTGAACTCAATACGTTTTCGTAGGAACTACATAAACATAGATAAAGAGAATTATTTATACAAAGCAGAAGAGCTCTAGGCCACATCAGTTGTGCTTCTCCAAGCCGGCAATGTCTTCATTCTCATAGAGCCCAAACCGTTTCGCTTTGTCATCAGCCATTTTCTTTAAGTCTTGATAAGTTATATGATAACCTTCAAATAATAAATATCATTATTGATTATTTCATCATTTGTTTACCCATCAGACGATCCAAGTAGTTCAACCATGGCTGGAAGCATGTTAATGGTCTTAGATGATGCATATCGTGTGCTGGAGTTCCGGCATAGAAATAGAACAGTCGATGAAGTGCCAGTGGGAAGTCATATCCATGGTGAACCTCAAATCATTCAAATTGTTGTTGTCAAAGCATTTGTCTTACTTCATATGAGACACTCTGTGCGACTAAAAACCAAACCCAATATGTCAAACAATGAGTTGGGAATATCCAAGGGATGGCAGTTATGAAAGTCGCAACAAAAAAGAGCTGAAAAATATATAAAATGTGTACATGTCTGTCATATTCTATTGTGATTGAGATAGGAAAAGGATTTTCACCTCAAACGGATGTAAATGCTGAGCTACAGCTGCACATGGAGATGAGTACATGTGATGAACTGAGTGGCACCAGCGGTACAAGAATTTCACCTGTTCACATGATACTGTTATGAGAAACGATTGTGACCTTTACCCTATGATGAAGGTAATGGAACCAGAAATAGGTGAAATCGAACAGTAGGAAGTAAATGGCCACCTATAACGAGAATGCTAAGTTTTTCTCCATCAATTATTATTTATCACTTGACTGCATAACTCCCAGACGGTCGGAGCCAGAACTGGCAACTCTGTATTGGGAACCCAGATTAGTTGAACTAAAGCCATAGGGTAGATCCTTAGATCTCATGATGAGTTTAAAACGGAAGAAAGTGATGGTTACCATAGCAACTGATTCCACATTTGCAATTTCAAAGATTTCTTTATCAAATCCCAGGTAACCTTTTTGTCTTTTTGAATTTTGCTTGATTTGAAAAAGGGTACTTCCGAAAAGAACAGATCAATAGCTGGAATATCCAATCATGAGTGGGTTATAACTTGTATGAACAGAACTTGTGAACACAATAACCCATAAGTAATCGATTGATAGAGCATAGAATGGAGGGAACAACGGAGAACTCAGCAGATTCTCATTTCCAACCTATAAACGGTCTAAGTACAAGGCTTCTGCGTCCTTTCAAACTCTGATAAAGTCCCATATTGGCTGCAAAGCTCGATGATTCATTTCATGAACGACTTGCTCAGAAGTGAAATTTTTAGGTGGATACATGAACTCCAAGGGAGGAGACATGGCTGAATCCTGAAAGAAGGCAATGGGATGGATCAGTTAAGGATGAGAGAGAGAGTGGGAGAGAGGAAATGTTGTTGAGAGAAGAGATAAATAGGTTTCATCAATAAAAACGAAACAACAACAGAATCATGGATAGAATATGAGAGTAATTCCTCTCGTTTATTGACGATAAGAAAAATAATGTGAAAGAAAATGATTTGAAGTCTTTGATAACAGTTTACAGACACAACTACTGATTAGATGATTATATAATTATAAAGAATAGTTAATGAAGAGTGGCTGAGAATATTTTCTCCAATGAAATCAACTTTGATCGGTTTTTTATTAAAAAATTTTGATAAACGGTCACTTCATTCTCTTCTTAACAGAACTTCTCACAGACTTTGCGAGGGTCCATACGGTTCTTGACGTAATCAATCATCTTTGGTAACTCTTCGTTAACGAGAGATTCACAGAATCCTTTCTTGGTTTTGTCATCTCCAAAGATTCTACTGCACACCTTATCCAATACTTGTTGTTCATCAACCTATCAATGAAATGAAAACATGAAGAGAAGACGATCTTGCCAATTACTTACAGCATGATCGATTATCATCATTTTCGTGAAGTAGACAACATCCTTGCAGACTGGACAAGCGCAGCCCAAACTATCAGAAGCCTAAGAATAAAACAAAAATTGAAATTGAAAAGAAGGTGCTTAGAAACTTTCATGCAATCCGGCTTTTGGACTTTGGCTTGTCCGAATTTATACATCTTAGTTTTGAGTGTGAAATCATCCATAGGCTCATGACACAAGCCAATCACAACTGAAATATTTATTTTTGGTTTTTATTTTCATTCAAGCAATTCATTGCATGAGACACCGAATCAGAGTAATGAGGATGAAGTGAAACTTACAGAGCGAGACGAAGGTGATGGCGAGAATGTGGTTGGAAAACATGGTTACTCTTATCCTACAAGCTATTGTTGATCTCTCAAACAAAATATTTGGAGAAACAGACTAAAAGTAAGGCGTTTGGATAAAAGGATAAAGTGATATCCTGATGAGAAAGAAAGACGATTGTCTGACCTACATATCTGACCTGGAACATCTGAAACACGTAAGAGAAAACTCACAAAACTTGCCTTTTGATGTGAACGAGTTCCTTTTATGAACAAGTGTTCTTCTAAAAGCTAACAGAAGGTCAATTGCACTAATTACCTTTAATTACAATAGCACTGTACTCTACAGAACAACAGCAACATGTTCAAATGAAGGATTTCGAGAAGCTCTGCTCTCCGAAATATGATCTGTCACAGCTCATATTGTAATTCAAAATGAAAATACAACAGATTGCATCAAACAAATGAAAAATTCGCAAAGAAAATTTATTTTCTCTAATTAGACAAGTTAATTATGGAGCCTCCATTCCAATTTGCATCATAATTGACTTGGAAGAGTTAACAAACAGTCGTCAATACTATTTCCTTTGCAGCTATCATGTCTTCCGAGTATTATGCTCCAGGTTTTACTTCACATAGCACTTCTGTAGTTATAATTTGTACAACTTAAGGAGCAACCATGAAGACCATTGCCCAGAAACGCCGACAAATGGAAAATCGTGAGTTTTCTGAATTGGCAAAAGAACTGCCGTTGTCTCGAGCCATCAGTGCTCAGCACATAGATAAGGTATGTTTCACAGTTAATTCAAATAGAAAGGAGAGGTTAACATTTTGGTATACAAGTAGATTAAAGTTAAAAAATCCGAACAGATCAATTCGAACTTCAGTACATCCAGAAGATCTCTCATATGATTCTTCGGCTTCATTTCAGACATCTATGGTTCGCTTAGCCGTCACATACATCAAGCTTCATACTATTCTGCCATCCAATGCGTCCTCCTATTCAAGTAAAACTGTCTTTCATCTACTTTAAAAATTGAATTTTAAGGTTTCGATGCTTTCTGGTGTTCAAATGCTTTGGATGTTTGTTTGAACAAGACGAAAACTGAAATAAACCTCAAAATTCTAGTTAATGGACAGTTTCTTGATGGTCCTCGACTCGAAAGGAGATATTCTGTATGTGAGCGAGACAATCAGCATCTATCTGGGTTTATCACAGGTTTTAAGAGAAACATTTTCGGACTGTATAAGTTTTGAAAGGTTGAAATGACTGGAAGTGCAATTCACGAGTATGTTCACGCCGATGATTGGACCAAGTTTCAATCCGTTAGACGATGATGAAAGAATGTTTGAGTAAAAACAGTTTCCTTCAGACTTTTCAATATACAATCAATTGGATAGACACATGTAATGTGAGAGTGAAATCGAGTTTGACCAAGAGAGCTAACAAAGATTCTGGAAGTTCTTCACCTGGCTATAAAGTATTCCAAACAATCTGAAATTTGATAATGTCAGTTTTGCTCAGGTTTTGAAAATGGACTTTATTGGTCATGGTAGTAGTCGTCTTGTTCACTGCTCACCTTTACCAGCTCTGATTCTATCCACAGTATCTATCCTCCCATATTCCTTTGTTCTGACAACTTCAGTGGATTTGAGCATTCTGAGTTCCGATGAAAAGTTAAGTTTGAGTCCTATTGATCCCGCCTTATTGATAACCTCTTGCCTTCAGAGCTGAGGACTACTTATGTGATTTCTACAACCGAACAGCAGGATTGAAAGGCAAATCATTCTATTCATTAATTCATCCATCGGACATTGAAACGATAAGGAAAATGCATTATGAAGGTTTATTAAGATTTGTTCAATTGTGCTGGAAACATGCCTTTGATATTTCAGTGTTCGCCTTAGGGGCATACAGAACGCCGTACTTCAGTATGATTTTGCGTCAACAGTCGCAAACGTTTTTCGTTGAGGTTTCTAGAGAACTGTGATGAAATGAATAAGACTTGAATATTGCAGGCAATCGTCTATAGATATTCATCGGTTGCCAATAAGACAAGTGTGGACACCATCACCATCATAATCAACTGCTTATGACTCTCTATCAAATGTGTTTTGAATTTAAAAATAAAAATTTCTCCAATTAAACATGTGTTGTCCATCTTGTTGTTTTGTTGAAGAAAAAACTTTTTTTCGACATTTCTTCTCTCTCATTGAAGAGAAACCAAAGTTTTAAGTGCTCATATAAGATTACACTCTGCCATCATTGAAAATCCCACTTGAACAATCAATCCTTGCCCAACGTTTACCTCATTGTCATTATTGCAGATCATGAGTGAACATCACCTTCTTAAGACTCTTGGAAAGAAGATTGGACTTGAAGTCTTTCGAATCAACGTAAGCTCTTGCTCACATCATCAAACAACTTCTATCTACTTTCAGAAGTTCGAACTTGAAAGAGTACCGCAAGAGCAACACGGTGCTTTCTATTCTGGAGATTGCTATGTCGTCTTAAGTGTAAAAGAAATTGTTGCTTAACATATCAATTCAATCCTTTTAGACTAAGAGCACTGATGAGTGGAATGTTCACTTCTGGTTGGGAAACCACGCAACTAGTGATGAAATAGGATCAGCTGCTATTTGGGTTTGATGAGATATTCTGTCTTTAACAAAGTAACACAGACAGTGGAAGTTGATAATGCCTTGGGAGGATTCCCCGTACAATATCGTGAAGTACAACATCACGAGTCTTCTCTTTTCCTTTCTTATTTCCCAGATGGCCTTCGGTGCTTTTCAAATCAAAAATATTCGCTTTAACACAAAGTTTCAGTTACTTGGAAGGTGGATATGCCTCTGGCTATCATCATTGTGAGAATATCTTTGATAACTGGAAGCCTAAGCTCTTCCATTGTAAAGGAAAGCGAAACATTCGTTGTGCTCAAGTAAGAGCTCTTCTTATACACTTACAATTCTGTCATCATAGGTCAAATGTGCCAAAGAGTCTTTGAACTTGGGCGATGTCTTCATTCTGGATTTGGGAAGAAACTTGTACGTTTGGATGCCACCAGATAGTGGACGATTGGAGAGAATTAAGGTTGAAGAGTTAGAAAACGTGGTAAAGTAAAGAAAAATGTTTGAAGGGAATGGCACGTGCTAAGAACATTGCTTTGGTCGAAAGACATGGGGAAGCTGACGTACACATCCTCGGTTTTTTAACTCTCTAAAAACTGGATGACATCTTCTTGTTCAGACGATGAATGGAAGACTGATGTTAAGTTCTGGTCCTATTTCGGAGGAAAGGAAGTAATTCCGAAAATTGCCAAAGCAAAAGATGATGATGATGATTATTGGAAGATTCATACTAAACTTTTGTCTCTCTGGAAGTGAGCAATCAATACATAGAAGCTTTGATCGTATAACTGTCTTCAGGGTATCTGATGCTACTGGTGACATGAAAGTTACTATCGTCGCAGAGGGAGAATTGAAACAGTCTCTATTGGATTCAAATGTTTGAAACTCATCATCGATCAGTATAACTGAATTTCAGGATGCTTTTATCTTGGACGCTTCAGCTGGAGGAATTTTTGTATGGATCGGCAAGAACTGTACCATTGAAGAGCGTCATAAAGCTGTTTCGTGGGGAGATAAGTATTTGAAGCAGAGAGTAGGTTACAATGGAACTATTTCGATAAAAAGCGCGAATGTAAACTCATTTTGTGATCGAAGACTCATTGAGTGACGTTGTCAGCTGCTATACTTCCTATGGCTCAAAATCATTGCTAATCAAACTGTGATGAAAATAAACAAGATAAGTTTTCGTTTAGAAACTCCCTGAGTGGACCCAGGTCACTAGAATCTTAGAAACAACTGAGCCACAGATCTTCACTCAATGGTACTGCAATCAGTCTGAGTACTAATATCCTCCGTTTCAAGGTTTTCTCAATGGGCTGATGTTAAGAAAAAAAATTCTTTCGAGCCTCATCTTTATCAGGTTTCTGATGAAAGTGGAAAGATCGTTGTTGAAGAAGTTTCAAACTTCACTCAAGAGGTCATATTTGGCAATTTTTTGTCGTTCAATTATCAGCTTCAGAGTCTCGATGGTGACGATGTCATGATCTTGGACGCATTGAATTTGATTTATGTTTGGGTTGGAAGTGGAGCAACTCCAAATGAGAAGAAGTCAGCTGAACAGACAGCTAAGGTATCATGAGTCACTCAACTCAAAAGTCAAGTAACAATCTCACACTTCCTTACTTTCCAGAAGTTTTTGGAGCAAAGTCAGCTTCCTCGCCACAAGAAGGCAAACACAGAAACGATTTACCAAGGGCAAGAGACTCCAACATTCAAAAAGTTTTTCCCATCATGGGATGAGAAGCTGTTCAAAGCTGTAAGTAACATCATGCACATACCATAACAGATATTGAATATTCCAGCAAGCTCGCAGTGTACAGAACATGAGAAAGCTCCTTTTCCATTAAGAAAGATCATTTTACGCGTTCAATAAGTTTCAGAATAAACGTTTAGAAAAAAAAACAAGATTTCATTTGAAATAATGCTTGTAATTCCAGAACGTCAAGGTAAAGATGAACATCCGAGATAAATTCTGACAAAATCCGGTTGATAATGAGTTTCTTTTTCATATTAAACCAACGATAATACTTACGATAAATCAACCTGCTTTGTCATATGCTTACTGTTATTCTAAGCTTCTTCATGGTTTTCATTCAAAAAGCGAAAGAGGAAGTTCTTACATCTAATGACATCATCATCATCATCATCATACACAACCGGTTTATACTGTCTGAGCACTAGAAATGATATATCCACTAGTTTGCTTACGTCATATCCTTCACGTGAAATATTTCACGTGAAACATTCTAACCATCCGGATAGTCAAAGAATGATTTTTAAAAGCATTTACGAGATTTTCATTTTCATCTACACGGTTTCCGGGTACAATCGAACTCAGGTGAAATGAAAATCGGTTCTATTGCCCCATCGTTTAGTGTTTATTGAAGATCCTTGAAATATCGTATTAAACGTAAAATTACAAACAAATCTCCTAATATGCATGAGATGAAGAGAAAAAAGAGAAATGAGGAAATAGAATGTTCTGACGAGGAGCTCATCTTCAACTTCTGGACCGGTTGCTCCCTTTCTAAAGGGTTGACTACAGATGGTTGTCGCATATAAGATCCGCTATTAAGATAAGTTCAACCTCAACTACATTGATCCTATCGTCCTTGTTCGGACAACTGATCATCTTCTGAATCCTCGTCAGGTCCTAGTCATTGTTTCATTTCGTCTTTCAATCGGTTGATTAAAAAAGTCAGAAGTTATCTTTCATTTGTTTGTTTTTCCGTTTCTTATTCTCATCTATGCATATTGGTCTTTAACTATATACGTATAGTTAATATAATCATCTGATTAGAAAGATGGAACTATCAATATCAAGTCTCTTTGCCATGTACACATCGAATATCCTGTGGAGTCTTTTCCTGACTTCAACAGCTGTACATGCTCTCGCTCTTATCACAAGTCCAATGTGCGTTTAACATTCAACTTATGCTAATTATAATATAGTTAGTATAATTATTTAAATATTATAAATTTTATTGTAGTCAAGCTGTATTTAAATGGTTTCGAAGGAAAAGCAGCGATAGTGACACCTCATTGCCATACATCTGTGCTGTTACAGGGTACGGTGAAGAAACATACACATAGAATCTCACTTCATTCTTCTCTCCATACTTGTCATAAGATGAAAAATAATCTTTGAAATCTATTATCCTATAGCTAATTGTATTACTTATAGATCTTCATTATGGCTAAGATATTCGATTTTCTTACACGATGTCAAGCTAATCCTGCTTCAAACTTATGCTGTTTTCATGCAAGCCATCTTCCTCTTAGTACTCTTGTACTATAGAACAAAGAAAGTTGTTTCAATCTCTCTCTCTCTCTCACTCATTATCCTTTTTCTATGTTTAAGAGAAAATTATCTAAAGGAGTACTCGCCACTCTCATCGTATTAGGTGTTTTGTTTTATTATATTGATGGTCTCAACGAAGAGGATGGCAAAGAGGTTTGTCTGCTTGCCATTCAACGTCAACAACATCTTGTTATCTTCAGTTTACCGGTCAGATCGCCTCAGGCGCTCAGATAGCAGGATCTCTTGTGTGTCCATGGCTTATAGTAGTTTTTGACATTCATTTCCAAACACATTCCATGTTATTTCAGTACAAAGCTATTTCATCTAGATGCATTGACTTCGTTCCGTTGGCTCCAGTTGCTTTCACCTGGGTAATGGAAGCTCATGCAATCATCTATAGCATTGGAATCGATGACTTCTATATGATGGTAAGACGTTCAAAGCTATGTCTTCTAATGATCATCTTGTATTGCAGTTGGCAAATACCATATTCTTCTGTATGGATGGATCATTGTTGGCTTGTTTCTTCATCTTCCCAACAGAGAAGCCTCTGCTTAAAACTCAAATTCAATAATAACTGAGAAGATCATTTCGATTACCAACGGGTATCCTACACACTAATAAATCTTTTTGTATATTTATTTTAAACGAAAATATATATGTTGAAAGAATGTAAAACAAATAAAATACATAAAGACCCGTCATTTCAAACCAAGTTATTCGTGTCTCGCCAGAATCCTTCCTTCTCCCACAGAGCATTAACGAAAAAAAATTGTCTTTTTCGGGAAAACACATTCATATCACAGTGGATAGTTAGTCTAGCCAAGAGCAGAAGGAGGAGAGAGAGAGAAAGAGAGAGAGGAAGACTTCCTTCATGACGACGAATAGCATTGGTTAAATTCTATCGCCGTTGTCACTTTCTGATTCCTTGATTACCGTCAGCTTCTCTATGAGAGTTTCTGCCGCAGGTGTGCTGGGTACAGTATTCTTACGTGGAGGTTCACGCCTGAAACGAGATCAATGTTCTTTCATTTTTGAACTTTTTTTGTTTCAAATGAAATCCGTTATGCAATAGATCAATGAATTCATTCTGGTGAACTGGATGAAGTGTAGAAGAAGAAGAAGAAGACCAAAAAAGGATTGACGATTGTCATGAATTTATCTTGAGAAGCAGATTAAATTCAGAATCTAAGTGGATGGCGGTCAAAGATCTCTCGTGAGTTCGAAATAGCAATTTATCGCCGAAATGCGTGTAAATGAGATGCAGACTATATAAGAGAGAGAGAGAGAGAGAGAGAGAGAGAGAGAGAGAGGGAGAGAGAGACATAGAGAGAAGAAGAATGAGAGAGAAATAAACTTTTTTTTATAAATTGTATACAAGAGAAGGTGTTTCTTGCATAACCATCTCACTCACCTTAGACTTCCTTCATTCTCTTTACTTGAACTTCGCCGACTTGATCCATTTCGGCCACGTAGTGTCGAATTTTTAGTCGACCTAAATATGCTCACAAAATAAGAATTGAAACGTTTCTTTATAAGCAAACCTTGTATAAAGAGAAATGGGAGTCGTCGGTTGACCCTTCACACGTGGAGGACGAGTCATCTTCTGGCAGGTTATGACGTGAGCACAAATTCTTCGAATATCCGGGTTAATTAAGCAATAAAAATAGAAATTCAAAGCGAATTTCGTGAATTCTAACAGATTGACAATGGCCCGAACGATCTGCAATTCCAAATTTGGTTTATGTTTTGAAATGAATTATTAACTTGGAAATCAAAGTTATTTGATCGATTATCGGCAACCAGCATAGTTAATGGAGCAGCTGGGATAGTGCATAAGAAGAAAATTATAATTATAGCGAATAGTAAAATGAAAAGACGTTTCTCTTCCTTAATAAGATTATCATAGCAAGAGAGGTGGCTGAGAGATCATACCTTCTCGCTTTTCTCATAGACGAAGCGTTTCTGTGAGTTGGATAAACGTTCCATTCGGTCCTTCTTTGTATTCCTGAATCAGATGAACTATGAAATTCAGAATAATATTATTCAATATACCTGTATGTTATTAAAATTCTGGCATTGAAGAATGCAACAAGAAAGAATGGGAAAATGCGACTGATTAGCTCTCGAATAGCTTCGTAGACGACAAACCAGTCAGGCCGTATAGTATCACAGACGACATACGGACAAAGATCTCCAGGTATGGAGTTCTGAAGAATCTAAGTTGAAAAATAATTTTGAAATCACAATAATACTCCATCAATAAAATCATGTAAATTGTGAACGTTCTTCTTGATAGCCCATGGAGCGTATATGATGAAGTTGAAGAGATAGGACAGACAGAATAGTAGAAAGCAGATTTTACTGGAATGATTGTATATGCTCTAGCTCATTCCTTCTTTCATTACCGAGATCTCATTCCATAGGCAAACGGTTTACATACAGCCATATATTGAGATAATGTGAGGAACACAACAATCCAGACGGATGCACCCATTAAACCATTTGCCTGAAACAACAACGTGATGCTTCTGATCATATCATCATATTCTAATTATCACGTGAGACACGTGGGTGGAGATGTTAGCTCAGATTATTTATTTCATTTCCCCGTCGCATGGAGCGGTTGTTCAAGATGTAAATGCATTTCGTATATACTAAGGGGGTGGAGGAGGGGGGGGGGTATTCCATAACATACATATATTGTATTTTTAAATTTGAAATCTTTTATCTGTAGTTAGAGATGAAATGAAATTCATCGGAGGAAATAGGCTCAAATTCAATATGATGAAAGGAGTCAAGTCAAGTAGCTGGATTGATGATGGATTTGTTCCCGTCTTCAATTTCAACTCATGTTTCTCTCGTAATTAAGTTTATCAAACGAAATATTTTTTTTTGTGCATTGAAAGTCGAATCAAAGAAATTTATAAAACAGTTCTGAACTTACTAAAGGAAAACCAATATGTGCATAGAAGAAAGCTGAAAAGGAAGAACAAGCTCTAATATCCAGAAGCCACATAATCATTGGAATCACAGAGATATGAGTAAACTGAAACAAAAACATTCTTAAATTTCGTATTTTCTTTGTGTATTCTCTTTGTTTTAGTTTTTGTGTTCGTTGTTCATCTTCAAACGAAAAGATATTTTTTCTGTGTTGTAGATCAAGTTGTACTTGTTAAGTAACGAGTTTTCGAATGAAAGCTTAAGCTTCCAAAGTCTTGAGCTTAATCAGATCAGCAGTGCTTGCGCTTCATCAAACCAAATAAAGATTCAAATGAAAAACAGGCGTAAAGGAATGAGAAGAGTGTGAAAAAAAGAAATGAAATAGAAAGCTGATGAAGGTGCGATGTTAGGGTTGAACGAATGAACTTACCAAATCAGTCATTGCTAAGAGAGTGAGATACGTATAGATGATGGAGCTTTTCCTTAACAAGGGATGTGTTAGAGTGATGACAGTCAGAACATCTCCAACAATCCCGAATGTTATAATTAATGGAGCAATATATGCATATGTTATCTATAATATATATATTAGTTGAATATTATATTTATGCTAATTCACCATATTCAGGTTAGATAACGGCATTTCAGTTGTTCGATCATTGAGTATGGTCAACCAGTCGATGGACTCATTGTGCGATGATCTAATGGTCTCACAAAGAACATGACTAGACGGCATAATGATCAGATGAAATTGGAAACGTCCGAAATTTGGAAAAATGTAGCAAAATCGGCAAATATCAGTCTAATAGAGATTTGTGTAGAGTAATGTTGAGCTAGTGAGCATGTTGCAACATTTCTACGTGGAGGAAGGGAAGGAGATTCTGAAAAACGACCAAGGAGAAGATAGTTTGGCGATCGCTAGGGTTGCAAATCTGCAAATGAAAAGCTTTTAAAATCAGACAGAAGACAAGGAAGAGGTTGAATGGAAAAGGAAATTCTTTGTAGTTTGAGACGTATGAGGATGATAACAGACGATTTCTCAAAAGGTTAGAAGCGGAAAATAAGAAATGCCAGAGGGCAAAGTTGATTTTTCAAAATTTGAAGATTGGAAAAGAATTGCGAAGTACAAGCTGTTTTGAAGTCAAAAACAAAAATTGAAAACTGAAATGAAAAACAAAGGCGACATGAAAATATCATTGGAGATGTCAAGGTATACATCCTTTGGAATTTCTGCTTCATCACTCTTTTTTTCTCTTCTAGCTCATTCAAATGACAGCGACAGTAAAGCTGATCATGATCATGTGATTTCTGTGTTTAAGACGTTTCGACTATCAAATAATGAAGAAGAAAAATCAACCATGCGAATATCATCAACATTTGAGGAAAAAAAAGAAAATTTTCTGAAGACGATGAAGCTGAACAACGATGATAGGACGACGATTGGGTTGGATGGCAGATAGGGTGTGGTGTGGAAGAGACAACGACGACGACATCGAGTTTCGATGAGCACTGATTGGCTTTCGGCAGAAGGAGAAGACAATCAAAAGACTCACTACTACTCACTCAGCCATTTCATCAGATGATGAAACTGATTGAGTATAAAAGGAAGAAATGAATGAGATAGAAGGCAGAAGTCAGAGACAAATCTGAATGCAAGGCGTAAAAGAGGAAGAAGATGGAGAACAACTCCCAAGCTGGTGGAGGTACTGAAGATTTACGAATGTGAAAAGCGAAACAAAAAAAGGTGAAATGCCCAAGTTATAAACGTTTCGTGATCCTCTCTTTCTCCTCTCTCTCTCTCTATAACAAGTCTCAGTTGAAAGACAAGATATGACCTTTCACTCACGGCCAGAAGTTAGTGTGGTTTGTGGATGGTGAAGAGAGGTAGAAGAGGCGGGTTAACAGGTTAAGAGGAAACATTTTTTGAAATAGAATTATGAGATGAATAATAAGAAACAAACCTAATATAGTTTCAAGAATAAAACGGACACGTTGTCTTTACTTTGACGTTCAAGAGCTAATTGCACCAGATATGTCGAAATTCGATGCCAATCTCGTTTTCCTTCCCGTGATCTGCAGATATTTTATGGAAAAATGGAATTTTCAGTTAGAGAGAGAGAATGGAATTGAAACAAATAGTCAGAGATGTCTCCTTATGTGGATTGAAGAGCCGTTGGGATGCAAACTCAAAAACTTACTTCAAGAATTCGTTTGCTAGTTTGATCGCTTCAGAATTTGTGACGACGTCCCAAAAGCCGTCAGTTCCGACTATGAGAAATCTGAAGTCATCTATACATATGTATTCTTGAAATGTGAGGATAAACAAGTAGAGATTGCCAGAACGATGATGATGTTGAGATGCAAAGAAAAAAAATAACGAACTTCAACGGTTTCTTGTGTAAATCAATTCGTTGCACGTCGGGTCGAGCTGTCAGAACACCGAGTCTCTTCAGAAGAGTATCCCCAAAAGCCCTGGAAAGACGAACAAAACATGATGAATTACATAAATCTTAAACGTTTTCATAAGCTTGAGATGTGTGAAGGGGAGTGCGTGTGAGTGTGTATGTGTGTGTGTATGTGAATGAGTATACATGTGAGAAGAAGAGAGAGAGAGAGACGATGAGAGTTAATTTTTTGGAGAGAAAGATCAAATGGTTTGATAAGCGATGAAGGAGAAGTTCCTGCAAAGTCCATTCAAAGGATTTTCTATTTTTGTGAGTTGTTTTTATCATTTTTGATTATCGCCAGATATGCAAATTCTCAACGTGATTTGGGAAAGTTTGAGATTATTGCGTTCATTTGAAGTTCCCAGTGCACGGATTGTTCAGCTTTAATCTCCCTTGGGCTGAACAAGGACATGAAAATAGGGAGAAAGAAGCTTCAGCTAACAACAATTTCATTTGAACAATATTTTCAGGAAAAAATCGTTTTAACTTAACCCAATCCCAGCAGTTCAAAAGTTAAAAAACGACTGTTTTGCATTGAAACACACACACACACACATACACTGACACGCTGACACACAAAGAGAGAAGAGAGAGAGGAAAAGGAGTTGCGGAAATGAAAAAGGAACGGCAACGTTCTTCTGCTTTTAAAAAATTGTTGAAAATAAGATAGGTAAACAGTAAGTTCTACTTCCAGCCGTTACTAAAAGCCTTATGAGACGATTGATTAATGAAGAAGGAAAGGGACGAAGAAAGAGAGAGAGAGAGAGAGACTAGGGAGGGAAGGGAAGGGAGTCCTAGGATCAGATTTCCGTGAGCCATCTGCATCTGTTGAATAGAGCAAAAGAAAGTTTACGTGTTTTATTTTGTTGTACGGCGAAGGAGGAACAGAAAACATGAAATATGACCATTTGAAAGAAGCTCCGCACAAGGAAAATACTTAGAGAGAGAGTTGTTTGTGAGTGTAATAATGATTTCCAACTATTTGTTATTACATTGAACTTTCTTTCAGCCGACTCTTTTGAAATGGCCCAAAATCTATTTTCTCTCTCTCAAGGCTCAAATGAAAAGTTGTCGAAGTTTTACTTCTTCATCTTCATCGCTCACAAAAATACGTGTACGATGGCATCTAATAATGACACACATACGAAAACAACGAAAGCTTCAGCTCATTCGATCAAAGATTGGATATTTCGTTGAAGTATACGAAGGATGAGATGAACAAATGGTTATGAATTGTCTGTGCGGATGATCAAATGTTGGACAGACGATGGATGAGAAGCTGTGGAGATGATCAGTGTTGGATATCTAAGTCAAAAGATTCCATTGAATGGTCGAATGATGCAGAGAAAGACACAAGAAGGAGGAATGTTTCAAACAAAAAAAGTTCTTTGGCTCATTTGGATAATTACAATATATCATGAAACATCTGACATGATTAGTCCTTATAAGGAATAATGTCAAACAAACATTACTTGGGAAACAAACGACGAGGAACAAAAATGAAGAAAATGACATGAAGATGAAGATAGAGAGAGAGAGAGAGAGAGAGAGAGAGAGAGAGAGAAGAAGCTCTTCTCTCCAAAACACATCAAATGGTTGAGGATTTAAGATGAATCAAATTGAATGTAATGACTAAGATTAAAATACTTAAATGCAACCGATTGGTAACGCGTTAAGACTGCAAATGGTTTTCGTCGTTGCCATCATACGTCTTTCACGTCTTTCACGTATTCAGACTATGCCAACGTGCTTTTCACGTGAATATGAGATTATGCAAATTAAATTGGATAAACAAACAAACAGAGCATGATATTGCAATCAATCATTGTGCATATAGACTAATCTTAATTATCAGACAGCTCATTCAAATATTCAAAAGTGGCGCCAAGTGAAAGAAAAGGTTTCAGCTGTTTGGAATTTTTTAGTTTTTGTAAAATGCAAATGCTCAATTGGTCTGATATTCGCATTGAGAGTAAGCTGGCGGCATACCTTTCAGGATAAATTACATGTTGGGAGAAGAAGGATGAAGAAGTGATTATGATTGTTGAAGAGAGGAGAGCAACCGAAGACGAACAAGATGTCATGATCGCTCACAATATGATGTTTCCCCCTTGCTTACAAAAACTTCTTTTCTGCCTTTTTTGCTGCTTCAAGGAGGAGCAAAGAGAGAGAATACGAACTGCTTGTGCGAGATTCAGATTATTTCTATTAAAAGTTCTGAAAACATTCGACGAGGACTTTTTTGAGAGGAATTGAATGAGAAGCTCAAGATGTTAGGACGACGTAATTGATGGAAACATCATCTCGCTTTGAAACAAAACTCAGAAAACTATTTCATAAATTGCATTTGCAAGGAAAGAACGTCTTTGAATATGGTACAACTGATGGATACCTGGAAACTGAAAGAATGCCTTGGATTCGAGGTGAGCCGTCGTCGTCGCAGTTGACGAAACCACCAGCAACTTCGACTCGCCGTCTTTCTTCTCTCTGCAAACAAATAGTTATGAGAAAACAACAATATGACAGAGAGACAATCTTGAGAGAAGTTTGAAAGCAGATTAGGTTATACAGCAAGGCAGACCAAAAATGGGTTAATGACAAGCTTGAACAAGTACGACACAGATAGAGTCGGCTGAACCCCGTGTGCGAGAGAGCATAAAAGACTTTGCAATAACATTTCCATTATTCATGATAATTATCTTAAATTTTTATGAAGATGAAAGAATTTTTTACAGAAATATCAAAGAGAGAGAGAGTGTATGAGATAGAGAGAGATGAAGGGATAATAAGAGAAGAAGAAAGAGAGAGGGATATAGAAGAGAGAGGAGAACGAGATGAAGAGAGGAAAAAGCCTTTGACAATCTTCTGAGAGAAAAAAAAACATTTGAAAACAGCCTCAATTCGTCGGAAGAAAGCCTCAATTAAGAGAGCGACTATAATTATAAATATTGAAGTTTTGCTCTTTCCTAGCCATTTAAGGTTCTCTCATGCCATCAAATGCTTTGTCCACTTTTCTCTTTATCAATAGAGCTCATCTGAGTTAAATGCTCAACTTGAATCTTGATAGCCTGAGGGCATACTTACAGCTTGAGCAAAATAAGAAACGCAAAGACTATGAAATATTAGGGAAAAGCCATTAAGAGGCAATTCAACGATGAACGTTTCATCTGATGGGAATAGGTTTCTCTTCTCATTCACTCAAAAAATACGAAAAATCACTTTTTGAAAGAAGCTTTTTGCAACTTCAAATCGGAGGCTCAACAAGAGGTAATCGATAGAGGGATTGGATGCAAAGAGAGGTTTGGCTGCTCTCATAAACGATCAACATAAATATTCTATGGAGAAACTGTGATAACAAGTAAAAATGAATTGATGTAGTCACGTTTTCTCTCAAACATGGTTTGTTGAACTGATTTTTGGAAGAAACAAACAGATGGAGAGAGGAACAACCGGTCAACTCCAAATCAAATATATGAAATGAAGATCAGGGTTAGTTGCACGTGAAGTCCAAGCAAATCTTCCTGACGCCTCAGGCGAAAATAGGAAATTATTGAAATTTTTATGAAAACACGAGGAAGTAAAAAGTAAGAAAATGAAAAAAATGGCGGATAGAGAGGGATGGTAAGGAACGAAGAGGGGCAAAGGCTCCATGTTTGGGATGGATGTAACACAACCCGAATTTCCAGCTTCACTATGATAAAAAGGAAAATTTAATCATACTCTACTGCTTGTTGAGGATATATATTATAGTCAAGATAGCTTGAATTCGAATTTTCAATTATAGTTTCAAAATTGAAAGTAAGTGTAGAATAGCTGAGTTCAATTGAACTAGATAGAGGATAAGAAAATGTTATAAGGAGGGAGGGTAAGACGGAGATAGAGGGAAAGAGATGATGGTATAAGGAGAGAGAGAGAGAAAGACTGAGAAAGGGAGCATCAATAGTATCTTCATATGAATATTGTAGAAGCTAACGCTTATGAATCAAAGCTATATGATTGCTCTATTGCAGCTCTCGTCGTTTGCAGCGCTACTGCAGGCAGTCAAGGATACTGTCATTCCAACAGGCAGAGCTTCTGTCAACGAAACTGTTGACCATTTTTGTAAGCAGTATGAGCGTAGAACAAGATATCAAGAACATAGAAAATTCACTAATTGGGATGGTATGGCTTGGAGGCAATTTGGGCGAGAAAGGATTAGATGGCTAGAGGAAGGAAGCTGGCATCAATACTCATTCTGAAGATCCTCGCCTCATCCTCCAATTTGGTTAGTTTTGGACATAATGTACACAGAACAATACAAAATACAGAAGATGAACTTACATCGTCCGGCTTATGATCACGACTTAGAGCGACAGCTCTGTTGAACATGTCACATGCAACAGCTCGAGAATCTCCAACATTGATGATGGTCAAGAAACGATTTTTCTCTAATATGGCACATATCAGTGTTGATCCTGTAAGTGATGAAGTTTTTTTCTGTTGTAGAAATGTCTGTCAGACCTGTCAGAGATGTATACTTCTTATCCAGACGGGATATGGCATCATCTAATTCGAACACTTGGGTAATGACAGCCTTTATGAAGATTTACTATGATCTATGACATTTTGAAAACCTCGGATATAGGATCATCTGCTAATGAACTCGATTTGTTATGCATTTTTAGTTTTTGCTTCAATCTCATTAAGCGATGACGCAATGACACAGCGAAATGACACTCCAAGTAGTCCGAGATGTACTTAATTCAGATATTCATCATTAGAATCAGAAATGTGATTTGGATAGCCCTTACCATTCCTCCATGACCATCAAAGATGCCAAATATGGCCAAATTCAAATTAGGATCATACATGTAATGCATCCTATCTTCCATATAAGGTCGGAAACCCTGCGCAGCAGCATAAGTGAAACGTTCATGCATAATTCTCCAAAGATTTTCTGAAGATATGCGTTTATGGGGATACATGAAGACAGACAAACCATCTCGAGACAAGTCGCTGAATCCCTTGTCAATAAATTCCGGTAAATCATATCTGTGTCTATGAACAAGATCCAACTGACGTAGATTGAAGCCTCGAATTCTCGGTATGAAGTATTGAGTAATTTCTTTGACATAGTAATAGACCCATATGAGTAGAAGGGCAAAGAGACATGTCTCTTTGCGTTGAAGTAGATAACGTAGATTGCGATTATAGTAAAGTAACAAACTTGTGGCGAGGGCAGCAGAGCCAACTATGCGATAGGTCATTATCCTATTATAGATGACTGAAAGAGAGAGAGATGGAATAGATGAGGAAGAATCATAGAGTTAGATGTGAATGACAATGAGATGCAGAAGCTTATCATTGATTGTGAACACGTGATCAAGCAAATGTTTTATTTTTTTATTTTGTTTAGTCGCTATTGTAATAGAATGAAAGAAAATAAATCAAAATGTTCATTTGGAGCTTCAGACCGATATCCTTTCCATTACTTGTGTCTGTGACTACTACAAGTTGGATAGAGAGAGAGATAAGATGCAGCTCATTATTGTTTTCAGTTCCAAAAAATGTGTTTTCATAATCAACAGCTTACTCTTCTTACACTTCAACACAGAAGACGAGGAACCAATTCTACTCACCTTCAATTACGTCGTATGGATATTCGCTTACAACTAAGGTTTATCGTTCGCTGAGATATAGAATTCATGAGAACAAGTAAAATCTTTTTTTTTTTCACACAAAAAAACAAATGAAAAGAAAAAAAGAAAAAAAAAACTTAATGAAGATAGGAATCATGCTTCTTCGCAGTGGTTTACATAGGAAAGCTGAATGTTGAATGATGTGTCGAAACAGCTGGTCAGCATTCTTCAGCCATTTGTAAAGAAAATTAGAAAAAAATCGAGCAAAACTATCTTTTTAGAGTTATAGTAAAGACAGAACGTTGCTGTTTTCATTATAATAGTATACACATACACATAGGAGATATACAATATAAATATTTTACAAAATACTACAAACAGGTGATCTAACATGATGAGTTGACTTGTCTTCACCAATTCCATTCTGAAATTATCATTTGAGAATGAGATTCTTTCTCTCTCTCTCTCTTTCTCTTTTCAATCATATAGTATAATGCATCTTCAACAACATTCCACGTACTACACGTGGAAAACACGTGTCACGTAGACGTGGACGCTGCTCATTCAATTTCAGTTGCAGCAACAGAGCGGTTGTATTTCAAAAAAAAAAACCTTTTTATTGTTAGCCTCCGGTGATTCTTCCTCATTATAAATAGACATATCATGCAGCTCCATGTAGCCGTCTATTGTTTGATCTCCGGCTGAAATGTTTTTTTTTTCAGTTTCAATGTCTTGTACATAGACATTGATGAACGAACCTCTTGGCCTAGCACACAACTCCCACACTGATTTCCTGTCATTACGTTCCAGGAAGTATGTGTACATCACACCTTTACCCTAATCATTTCATTCATTAATACTATCAAGAAGATATTTAAATACTTTGATTTCTGTATTTCCGCGATCAGCAAATACAAAACTCGAATTTGATTTCAATCCGTTGATCTTAGCAGATTCGCTTACATGGATTTTACATGGAACTCCAGATGATTCCATTTTGTTTGCTAAGTTGACAGAGTCACCAAACAGACAATACCTACGATATGATGAATCGAATGTTTCTTCTTCTTATTAACTAACCGAGGCATCTTCATACCGACAACTCCAGCCACAACTGCACCTGAATGAAGACCTATCCGTATTTTGATGGGTTTTTCTGTGATTGGAGAGAGAACAAGTTTTGACTCCATCAGCATTCCTATACAACCAAATATACAGTTGAAGGAATAACAATCAAACCGATTGATACATTCAGAACTCTTTCACCGTGATTATCACATATTTCTGGCACTCCTCCAACAACCATATAGGCATCACCTATCGTCTCTACCTTATAAACTTCGTGCAATCCAATCAATCGATCAAATCTCAAGTACAAGTCGTTCAGTAAGGTGACCACATCGTAAGGAGTGCAGAGGGCACATATGTTAGTGAAAGTCACAATATCCGTGAAAAGCAAAGTGCAATCACTGAATTCACCTAAATGTTCCGTTTCAACACTGTTCTCTAATGAACAAGTTCATACTTGCATCGATGACTTTTCCCTGTCTCAATGAGTCGGCGACAGAAGCTGGCATCAATTCACATAACAGTTCATCCGTTTTCTGCTTCTCAACTTCCAGTTCAGCTGCCATACGTTTGAGACTCTTTGTGGTTTCTTCCAATTTCCGACTGCAGGAAATAAAGTATTCAAGACAATTCAAAAAGTATTCACTTCAATTCTACTTGACTCATTCGACTTTGGTTTAACATGATGAGATCACGAGTACCATCATGACGTTGCATATCACTGATATGAAGATTACGTTCAATCAATTCTCGAACAGTCGTTACGTTCACAGATGATAGATAAAGAATATAATTTCCTTCGTTTATGAGAATCATTGATCCTTAACATAATCTGTGCTAGAAGATGAGACCATCAATTACCTTTTAGCAATACAGGTTTCACATCATTCTTCGTCTGGTGTACTATATCTCCAAAACTTTTTAGCTTGAAGATGAAAAGGCTGTTTTTAAATGCCAAAATGGATTCGTAAGAGAATGGAACCTTAACGTTTCACCTTTTTGAATATCAACTCTTATACCGTAACTCACTTCAGGATGAATGAGTTCCAAAATATCGGTTACGCGAGTCTCTTGTTGAATGGCCATTGGGTACATCTTTTGAATGAATGCTCCGAAATGTTCAAGAAACAGATCTCGATCAAAACAAATATGGTACGGGAAGGCTTGAGAGAAGTCTTCTGGAGCAATTGTGAACTTGGTCTGAAGCAATGATTGTTAAGAGGTAGCCAGCCCAAGCTGTCAACCTGATGGTGTTCAATCCTCATCTCCGTTTTACTGGTAATGGATTTTTGGGGATTCGATGAACCAGACTCAACTTGACTTATAACGAAAACGACATGTTCCGTCACAAATGCATCTTCATCACATTAGTTATCTATGTTGTGTGTTGTGAAGCTCACCTAGATGTTCTTGCTTTCTCTCCTGAACCTTCATGATCACCTCAGCATCATATATTCTACGAGATACTTCTCGAACGACACCTATAAACATCTTCGCATAAATTTCATTTTTATCTCAAGTTTTCATCCGTTCCTCTCCGAAATCTGGCTTAGTTTATTCATTTTGAACTATCGAAGACTATTGTGTTTCAGGCGGTGAAATACTATAAACGGAAAATGTCCTCCCGCCTGTTTCTCAGGCTTTGTTCAAACATTTTCGCGCCTAAGTTTGAATCCCGCATTTTTCAACATTTCTTTGTTCTTCCTTCAGTGAGTAACACCTCTGGTATGGAAACTAACTCCATTTCCTTCTCTCACTCTTACAAACACATACACACACACGCGCATACACACACACATACAGACGACTGCGTTTTCAGTTCCTGTATGTTTCATTTACTTCTCTTATTTATTTTTTCATAATTAAAATGTTTAAATTCAATCACCTTTAACAATAGGATATAATCCACTTCTCTTTGAATAGTAATGCAACAGAAGGTTCCCTTCTGGCAGTACTTCACATCGAAATGATGGTCCACGTAACTTCGTCTGATACACGACGTGATCGATGAAATAATGAAGAGAATCTAATGAATCCAAAAATCCCTATAAATATATATTCTTCTTTCTTTCTAGTATCTCTTTCTCTCGCACTGTTCTCTGTTTATGAGCAATGTTCCTCTCATGTTGCCTCCTTCACCTCTCCATCGATGCTGGCCTAGCCAATAGCCCCAATCGATCGATGCTGATCTGCACTACACACATTCCAACACACCTACATTTCACTAACAAAACTTCTTGTAAAGTCGTTTAAAGTCATTCTTTTCACAAATCTTTGCTTGATTTTGGATAAATGAACTCTCATAGCTTTGATTCACATTATACATGGTACTGTATGGTCTTTCTAAGGTTCTTAGCTTACTGATCAGCATAAACAGCTTTAAACTTGTACCTAATACGGAAAAATGATAATAAAAACCTTAATAAGGCTCCTACAACATTCCCATAGGTAATTTTCGATAATTTATGGGCTTTACACATGATCTCAGCTACGTTCCTAAACGGCTGGAGAAAATGGTTAAAGCCGTCCGATCAGTCAATGGAGCGAACCAGGCTGTGTCGCTGCGCCGTATCGCATACGCGTGCACCACAAAGTCTCGCTCGTTCACCAATCTGATAACAACCGTTTCGGTCGCAAAAGACCGTCCTATCGATAGAAAATTGTAGTATTTTCCCATTTCTGTGATAATAATAGTTCTCTGAACGAACTGTTAAATTTTCATTCAGTTTCATCGACTTTTTGTTGATTTCTGGCTCATTTTGTCTTTTCGGTAATTTTCCCAAAAAATTCAAATTCTTTTCAAAATTTTTGTATTTTCGATCTGAAATAGCATTTCGGAAGCTTCTGTTCGAGTTTAGTCATGTTCCATCGTCTTTCAACATCATAACTTCGAAATTACCGTCCCATATGGCATACGCCGCAAAAAAACCATCCTTTATTTACTCGGCTAATTTTTCTGAACTTTACGCTCGCTCTCTCTAAAACTTCGTTGGTTCACATCTATGTGAACTGAAAGACTGTTTCTTAGCGTACGAGCTGCTAATCTGATACCGTTCTCGAATGAAAACATCTCGAATGAATGAACTCATGCCCGCTTCCCGTAATCACATCTCTCTCTCTCTCTTTCTCTCTCACTTCCCAAGTGGTTTTTGTATTACAGTCACAAGCTAGTTCCGAAAGAGGGTAAAGGGCAAATCTCTTCCATGTTTTGCATACAATTGTTTTCTCACCTCCAGATCAGTGGCCATTGCTCTTAGAAGTTCATCCCAACCTGTTTCCATTGTAAATTGGATGAGGAATCCTCCGTATGCTTCCCATACCTCTTCTACAGGTATACCTAAACATGTTCAGTTTTTTTCCGATTTTTCCGGATTTCGATCGGTTCTCAAGGTTTGCTTTGGATGTGAACGTTTTTTTTCCCAAGGGCAAACTGTTCTAATTCAAAACTAAGAATGAAATCTACTCGCATGATCTCTTGGTGGACAGCGTTCGCAAAAAAGTGTTCGTTCAGCTTCAAAACCGTAAAGTCAGAAGTTGAGATAGCTTGTAAAAGTCTTTCGGAATTAGATTTCATTCGATTGTTCTGTCAATTTTAGCGATAAAACAGAAAGATCACATGCCTATAGTGTTGGCTACTGCATTCACCAAACGGAACGTCTCATCGTCGTTGTAATAATGGCCGATCTCGCTCTCAGTTCCTTCTTCAAATTTGGCTGTTTCTCTAAATCGTTGATGAAGTTAACACATTGAAGATATAAGCTATCATATGTTATATGTCATGTACTTTGAAAGCTATTTCATTCGCATATATCATGTATCTGTCAGGCATCTGCCTAAAAGCTTAGCCATTATCTGCGGCATTGGATGTGTCTGATACGTTTTAAAGTGCAAACCATCAAGACCGAGCCTGGCAGAAGCTAACGGAAGTTTAAGAAAGTTTCTCTCTCTTCCTCTCTTCGTGCAAGTGTCAAAAATCGAAGTTAATCCATTTTCCTGTGTAGATATGTGAAGATCAAAGAGAAAGCTATTTAGTTACTGTTTTGTTATCTAATAAGAGGTTCATATCTATTCAAAAGTAATACGTAAACCGATGTTATCGAGAGGGTTCTCAGTTAAGGTCAGGTCAAGTTTTTGCTTCATTTGTAACCAAGAGCATTGGCCAAACATTGCCAAAACTCTTTATGACTCCTACCATCTATGACTTACACGATTTTCCTCCAAATCTCTTTTCCATACTTACGGTTGATGAGTTGTCGGAAGCTTTCGTGAATCCATCCAAACTGAAATTACCAAAAAAACGTTTGACTGATAATCGCCTGCTGCTGCTGTTTCTCTCTCTCTCTCTCTGCTGACTCCAATTTCTAGTTTTTCCTTTTTTTTTTATGAATTTTGCAATCTCAGAGAAATCAAATGTTCACTACTTATCAATCATATTAGTCGTTCGTATGTCTGATCGCTGAAAATACCAGAAAATAGGAAACCTTACTACTGTTCTCTTTCAATCTATCTCTCTCTTTCTCTCTCCTTTCTTCTTTCCCTCCTATCTCTCATGTCATTTGAAAGAAATTGAACAAACTGTTCACAGGACACTACTGTGTATGTTTCAAGTACATCACATATACAACAAGTGCATGAAACTGTTTTGGAATGGGACTTAAGGAAATTAAAATTGCAAACGAACCATGGTAGGGGAAGAAAGCTGGGAATATGATGACAGTCGTCTGAATTCTCACAAAACTATGGAAGACACTGGAAAAGGTAATAACATGAAGACACGCAAAGCTCTAAAGAAGCAGAATATCTAATATTTTACCTTAAATAATTCACATTATGGAAGATTATTCTGGTCCAAACATGAGTGGAATCGAGGGAGGGAAATCGATTTGCTTTTTACAAAGCGAAGAAAAAAAACTTAAAAGCTCATTTAATAATTTATTTATTTCCACTGAGAGTGCAATTGTTGGAAGTAAGTATCTGTCTGATGAGATTCTTGTTGTGGAGCAACAGATTTTCCTTCTCTTTTAGGTAAAAGTTTTGCTCCGTTTCTTTTGATCATCAAGTACATAAGAAAGCCAACGGTGTTTGGAGCACTGAACTCGATTACTCTTTGAATACTTAATCTGCTTACCTCGTTAGTAAAGCATCGAAAACAGCACTCAAGATTGTCTTGAAGATAGTTTGCGTGGAAGGTATCAGAAAGACTCCCAAGCATAAGAATAATGTCACAATGCACATAACAATGGAAAGTGGAAACAAGAGCTGAAAATCAGAATTGAAGCTGTTGCTTCTGATGAAACGAGTACTTCGACAACTCGTCGGTTTTCCTCTATCTGGAACCGAGTGCTAAGTGTATAGATATGAGAAATATTATTAAAGATATAATCATTCCATTTTTTGACAGCAAAAAATGTCTGAAAGAAGATTGTGATGAGATTGACTTTCATGAATCTTCAGAATACCATGAAGCCAAGTAATGAGATGGACATGGTGATGATCCCTAAGTAGAACCAACTGAGGAGATAGAACGAAGCAACAATAGACAGAAGGAAGCCGGAGATGTTGAGAAGCATGTATAAGACTATAGGGAGGGTGATGCTTCTATCCTGCTCATAGCTTCGTAAGTTGAACAACGAATATAATCTTTCAAAAGCCAGAATAAGGATTGTGAAGAGTAGAAGACAGTTGACATGTGCCCGAAGGCAAGATGAGAAGAGGATGATTTGCATAGAACCTTGAGCATAAAGCACATACAAAGAAGATTTAAAAGAGAAAAAAACCTTTGAGAGTAATGATATTGCGTTCATTCAGCATAAGAACGGTACGAGAGAAGATTAATGGATAGTTATAGAATATGATTCCGATCATGAGCAATCGAGCATTTCTGTGAATGTTGAGCTTGTACGACCACACAATGGCCGGCTTCGTAATAAGAATTGAAAAAAGAATATTAATTATATTGAAAATAGTTATGACATTGTATGGTAATGTGTAATCGTTCTCACTAAATCCACGAAAATCTATAGAGAATAGTACAAATGAGACATTATTATCCAGATAGATTTCATAAAGCATAAAGCTTTGCGACTTCTGAAACATTCATTAGACTGTCAAGAACTTTGAGAGCTTTCATGTTGATTGCGAGAAATGAAGAAGCAGAAGAGGAAAAACATGAGAAACGATCACTTGAGAGACTGAATATGTAGAAGCATCTCAATTAAAATTCAAAAAATAAGAAAAAAAATTATAATTATGAAAAGCACATAGTTAGTTATCACTTTCATCATGTATAAGCCAATGAGTAGTCACAGCTCCCTTCCCCTTAAAATAATTTCATTATTTCTGTTATTTTACTCTAATAAACAGTATAATCAAATAGGAAGATTAAGAGAGAGTTCAATAAGGTTCAAACAGAGAGAGAGAGAATTCAAAAGGGTTCAAAGAGAGAGAGAGAAAGGGGTGGATATGGTATACCTTGATGATGACTTCTCCACGGGGCTCTGTTCGATACCCTCCAATCACGTTTGTCAGAAAATTCATTGTTTCCGTTGAGATGTGAATTCTGCCAGCTTAAATTAAATCATATTTTTGTTAATGATCAGTCGAAAATATTGTGCGAACGAACGTTTTCCATTAGATTCCATACGACTTGCCGTGTTCACAGCATCTCCAAATAAGCAGTAACGAGGCATTGTAATGCCGACGACTCCTGTTACTACTGGTCCTAAAGCCATGAGACATTGGATCAGTTCAATTTCAAATTGAAATGAAAGATGACCCCACCTGTGTGATTACCTACACGGATATTGATTCTTTCTTTGGGCAAATGAGGTACACGGAAGCTTTTGATAGCTCGAAGAAGAGATATTGACATCTCCGCTATTTCCTCAAGACGAACGTTTATTTATTTAAAATAAGAAATGAGATTACCTTAGCGTGTTGGTTTCCATTGCGATGAGGTAAGCCGGATACACACAGATAGCCATCACCTATTGTTTCCACCTGACAGAGGATTTATTTGAAAATTTAATTATAACTATACCTTGTAGACATCATAATCATCAATTATAGCATCAAAAGTAGTGTAAAGATCGTTAAGTAGATTGACGACCTGAAATTTGGAAAAAAAAATAAAAAAAATGACAAACAAGATGAAATCGCAACCGCTGCATAAGAGCCAAAAGAGAGAAATAAACAGATTTTTGTTTACGTGGATACGTGAACGTCTGCAGACACAATCAGCCGTCTACTTGCTTAACACAATGGAAATCGGATCAATTTATGCAGAAGTGAGTCAGAAAGCAGCGACAGCGATGTAGTAGTCACATAGGCTGGCTTACCTGCAGAGGTGTACATCTACTTGCGAGTGTTGTGAATGAAACGACGTCAGAGAAAAACAAAGTAACGCAATCGAAAGCTTCAGGTTCCACTGCTTGTCCAGTCTTCAGCTTATCCGCAACTTGTCTAAACAAACCATGACTCATCCGTTTTCTCATTCGTTTTCTACTTTGGTAACATTCGATACAACAGAATGTCCGATTTCTTCTTCTCCTCTGTCAGCTCTTTCATTCGGAACTGCACTTCTTCCTCTAAGTTCGAAGCATACTGCTCCAACACATTGAAGGCATGATCCATGAGATTTGAATGACGATTCCGATTCAAACTGCGGATCAGAGTTCTTATCTATGAATATCTTCCTTTGATAACCCTTTTCTCACGTTTTCCCACCTGATCAGATGATGGCCTTTGTTTAGGCTCTTCGCTCCAACAGTCCCTGATTAACAAAGTCAAAGAAGAGCTATTCTCATCGTCCGATTCTAAAGATGGCCTAGGCGGATCGCGCCCTCCTTTCTTTATTTTATAAAACAGATCTGAATGAAGCAAGTGTTCAACGTTGCTAATGCTCTGCCAGTGGTCATGGCACAGATCGACATACCATCCATGTCAGTATCCAAATTCTCTAAATCCCAAGCACTCTTCTTACTTATTACTTCGGAAGCTATGATTGCAAAGCTAAAATTACAGGGTGAATTGAAAGATGAAGAGATCAACCTATAAACATCAGCTTCCGACGTGGGTGGAAGGGTTCGATCTCTTATATGCTCAGGCGCTGTCCACAACAGATCTGTATTTGTTGAATTGAGCATCAATACTAATATTTCTCACTGAAGCCTATTACCTTCTGTTCGTTTCTGTTCTTCAGCTTTAACATTCGATAATCCATAAAAGGATACACGAACTTTCCAACGATCATCCACTAAGCAACAGGTAGACGTAAGCCATCCATGCGGTCCCAATGAGGAATTATGAAGGAAATGTATAGCTTCCGCTACATCTCTGATCAAGGAATATTTGAAAAACCAATCCATCGTAACAGCTCCTTTGGCAATGACATCACGCAGTGATCCCCGACTACAATACTTCCAGATGGACAGTAGTTGCGGTCCATCAAGTGATAATCCCAAAAAAGGACAAAGATTGTCGTGGTCTAGCTGTCTCATCTGGAAAAAAGATTGAAGAGGTAAAAGTGTGAGAGATCATGTTTAAAAAATTTAATCGTACTTTTCGAAGCTCAGCCCAGCAATTACGGGTAATTGCTACACGTGTACAAGTGTGTTTACGAGCAGCAACAGATTCTCCATCTAAGAGAAAGAAAGCATGATTGCTAGTTTCCTGAAAAAGACGTGTTGTGAGTCGGGAAGAAGCTGTCAGATGTTCCAAACCTTTTTCGAATCAATTGTTAATTTGGTGCTGGTAGTGATTGTACTTTGTAATGATCTAGTACTCTGCTGATTCGCCGCCTGAGACCGATTTAAATGTCATAAATGGTTGTTTTCTATCTATCTTCACATACCCTTGAGGTCGGTACGACAAGTGATATAAAAGGTATTTGCCATAAAATATTTTGTTTTTCCTCCTCAATCTGTTTTGCTCTACAATGGCATCTCTGATACCAAAAAGGACAGATAGACACACAAACCTTATGATATATATGACTGTAGCTATCACCAATATGATTATCAGAATTCCTGCTGCCGTACTTCCTAATATGGGACCCATGTATTCTTGGAATACTGGCTGAGGGCAGTTTTCCCTGAATCAAATGAATTATTCAAAATAATATTTTGTTTGAGACCTTGAATATCCACAAGCGGGCACGTTCAGAGGCTTGGAACCCCCGAAATTCTGGAATAACACCGAGTCAGGAACATTGAACTCTATCTGGAAAAATCGCGTTCTGCTAGTTTGAGTAGTTTGATATGTGATACCTTGATTCTCACATCATCCTCAAGATCTGAATCATAAATAGAGCCAACGGCTATCTGTGCATCTGTATTGTCTACGGTATACAGCTTATACATAACTATCTTAGTTAAGTTTACATTCAATCTTATGTCTCCAGTGAAACCTATAATCAGAAATATAATGAGGTTGGAGAGAAAATGATGTGTTGAACCATCTAACTCAAGGCCTGGCGCTCTTGAAACTATATCTTTCCCTGTTGGGTACACCCCATCGGACAACGTTTTATTATATAAATAGGCTGCTATATAGACAGCATCAGCTAGTTCACCAGCATTGGATGCAAACTGCAACCAAAAATTAATAATTTATCATAAAAATATATGAAAGTTGCTGACATTTGTTGAACCGCATGTCGGGCAGTTGAGCTTTTCCGAGAAAATACGACGAAGATCAGCTTCAAACTTGGAAGTATCGTTGTAAGCTTGAGCATCAATCTGTTCAATAGTTTCATTCCATACTTTTCAAATTGAATGTCTTTGTTTCATACCAAGAAGGTTTTTTTAGCTGTTGCCAGGGCGATGCTATCTTTGCCATCTGGAGGATTTTTTGTATCCTTCCAAAAACTATCTGAACATACATAGATTTGATGACTCATTGATACTTGAGTTATCATACTATATCCAGTTCGACGATGTTCTAGATATATCCAAACATATTCATTTGTGTTCATCTTCTCTTCAGCTATAGCCAACAAGAAGTTCCTTCGAGCAACATCATCTTCAAAGCATACGACACCAACTATAGGATAGAGCATTAGAGAGAGCTTTGATTTGAAAGATAAACTTCTTGAGATTGATTTTATGTCTTTGATTGATGTTCGAAGGTTATTCACATCAGCTGAGTAGAATCGTTTCTTATAGACAACAGATATAGTCTTATAAGTATCACTTATAATTCCCTTAAAAATGCAAATTGGCCTTTACACAGTCATGTGATTGAGATTAAGAATTCAAAGAAAGTGAGAAAAAGCTCTGAAATAAAAGGAAATGTGAATACCTCAAAATCATCAACGACTGGGAGACATCTGGGAACGTTACTTCCACGAGTGGAATATACGAACACAGAGACATCAAGCCATTCCATTGTGGTCAGAAAGTCGGCTACATACAGGGCAACTCTTAAACTCAAACCATTTTCAAAAATAGAAAGCAGTATGTGTTACGTGTATGTACTTGCAGCTGTTGCAATAACATTAGGATAGTAATCAGTACGTAGAAGCTCCTTATCGAAAGGTGGTCCCCAGAGGAACAATGGCATGTCCAATATTTTTGCAACGCTGCCAGCAATTAAGGCTGCTATAGAAATTATAATTCTTGTTTTCTATTCTATTTTTGAAGTATTCACATGGTGAGCAAGCCGGCCCCATTACAAAATCAAAACCTGAATCTCTCGCATCGACCATCAAGCCAGCATCCTGCGGTATGTCGCAGTTCGTTTTGAAAAACTGAGCACTAAACTCAATTATTCAGTTAATGGTCATATCTAATGGTCTTACTCAAAAGCAAAGCCAGGTAGAAGCTTTTCTTCTTCTATTCGCTCCCAACTAACATATGGGGCTGCACCGACAACATTGTATCCAATGTACTGAAGGGAGCAAGACGGATGATGAAACAGACAAAACGACTTACAGGATCTAGAGATGGAGCATTCTCACTTACCATCACAGCTATTTTAAAAGTCTCAAAGTAAATGAATATGATGAACTTGATCTAAGCTTGAACTTACCTTATTTGGGTTCGTAGTTGTTTGACTAGAGACATAAGACAAAAATAAAATTGAAAAAAGCATTCCATACATGATTTTAAAAATTTACCAAAAATTTTCATTCGAAAATATATTGAAACTGAATTTCAATTTTCTTTTTATCCATATACGGTAAGATGTTTTGAAATTCCCACACGTTTTAAAGATTTTTGAAGACCTTGTATGGGATTAACATGAGAGAAGCTTCAACCAATTAGCTTATGGAGGCTATAATCCCCCACCGCTATCAGCAATTGACGAAATACTTCAAAAGCTCAATATCTCCTTTTTCTATTGTTTTCAAATCTTTATAACAAACATTCATTTCATACAATACATATAAGGAATCATTCTATTGCCAAGCTTTCATCAGCTGTTTGAAATGAGCTTCAGTGTTCCAGACGTTCAGAGCAGAGAAGTCTTTCAATCTCTTATCTCTTCGACAGCATACGATTCTTATCCATTGTCTTACTTTGGGATCATAGTGAACTAGAACAAATATAAAAATGGATAAAGGTGCTCTGAAACCAATAATTGAGCTATTCATCTCAATGACTGTGTAGCTTACAACGCTATGAGTAGTTCTAGTCTCATACTTGTGTCAAGCGATTCGATCATATCACAGTTACCATCAATAGGAGTGCAATAGGTCATAAATGAAAGAACGAATAGACTAGCACCGAGAATAGGGCAAAGGCCCTTCAAATACAGATTAATGATGGAAGTCAAGATGGCTTACCTTCAATACTTTGATGTTCTCGGTCACTTGAAAACGAGAGCTCACAGAGTAATGGTCGTTGTTGTTTTCAAACTTCTTCTTGATGTGACGATTAGCGAAGTAGATAGCTGGCACAAACTTGAATCAGAATGTCAAGGAGATAATTTGAAAGAAAAGTTTTACCGTAGCTTGCGAAATCATACTCATCAAAGGCATGAGCTTAAGCATCACTCGTAACCTATTCGGTGATGAAGTTATGAATGCGAGGAAGAAGCATATGGGAATGCAAACTAAGAAAATGCATACTGGTATGTAGAGACGTTGTCTTTTCTCATAGTTTGTGATGAAGTATGTTGCAAAGCAACGTTCGAATATAATCATTGGGATAACAGCGAATGTACAAGTGATGAAGAAGATTCTCAAAAATGAACTAATAATAAGCAAGTTGATAGCATCAAATGATGAAGCTGAAATGAAAACATAGAAAGAGACGACATATGGTTGAGCTTAATTTGCATAATAAGAAAAACAAGATATTTGCATAACTACACGTAGTTCACGTGTGTTTCATTTCTAATTGGCTAGACGTTAGTGAACGGTTGAATAAACAAAAAATATTTTTCTCTGATCTAACCATACACGTCATGTTGAACATGGTATAGGTTGACGAAGTATGTGAGTCATGCTTACCTGTTAGAGGTATAATCTTAATTTCATAGGCTATAAGGATGAATCGTGCTGTGACGATCGGTATGTAGAAGGAAGCACAACCCCATAAGATAATGCAAAGATTTTTATGAAAATGTGCAAATCTTGTTATAGCTGTATATCGTATGTACAAAATAGTAATGAGAGCAAGACCAATGAGATGAAACATAATTTCCATCGAGTAATTGAATGTCATAGTGAGGGTTATCACATCCAGATGTCTAGTATCAATATGGAATAAGCATACTTCTGTTGCTGTATTCAAATATATTTTATAAAACATTTTTCTAGTCAATCTGAAAATAGAATGAGATAGATGAGGAAGCGCACAACAGGTTACATTCTGAACGATTGTCTCCTTCGCTTGTTGCGTTCAGATAAACGGAGCAGAAAATTAAAAATGATACACTGCAATGATTTTGTGTTGAGAAAAAACATGATAAGATGAAGGCATAGAGAGATTCACTCAAACTACACCCACAAAGAGCAGTGAAGGAAAAAAAGATTATTTTTCATCTGAATTCTTGACGCTGTTTGATTCATTGTACATGGGTAATGAATAGGTGTGTGCAATTGACATTTATTGGACGATAATTATATATTATGACATATTGGTAAATAATGAATTATGTCTATTTTCTATTTCTATGAACACCTCTTTCTCTGGCTCTCTATGCAGTTCAGTTTAACAGGGTCGAAGGAGGGTTATTGATGATTCTGATCACATTCCCTAAGATTCACAGGCCAGATGTTACCTAGTTTGCTGTTCACTGCTTGATCAACTTCACTCCACACTTCAGATAGGACAGAACACAGTTACGATAGGTCTTCCACAATACTAGAGTGGCTATGCTGGATAACAACGTGTGCAGTCCACAGAGTCTTATTACATATTCATTGAAAGCTGAAAAAAGGAATTTGAACGACCAGCTTATCAATGAACCTCTATCGTATTCCGTTCGTATGTCTAGCATTGTACTGATAGCTATATAGAATCCAGGAATCCCCAGAGAAAAGGAAGGAAACACCATCTGAAAGACATTGATGTCAGATGATATTTCAGATTCAGAACGATGGATGTACTTGGATGACCAGTGCTATTGTATGAGAAATTTGCATTTTCCTTGTTTTCTCACTTCGGAAGTTGTTTTTCCTCCTCAATATCTTGAACGATCCATATAAGGATATGAAATACACGTAGAAAATGATGGCTGAAGAAGAGTATGAGAGAGAGTGAACAGAGAAGCAAGAAAACTTATGGTTGCTAACAAAACGATAATGAAGTATAGAGAGTTAGGGACACACACGTCCAAATAGATGTTCGGCAGTTCAGCTAGAGTAGCCAAGTGCGGTTCTCTCTTGAACATGAACGTGAAAAAGCAGAATTGCTTTTCTGAAGCTTACTTTCAATAAGTCATTGGTCGCCATCTCTTTTGAACGGAAGAAGTAGATGGAGTATCCTAACGTGTTTGCAAGGGTGATCGTAATGAAGAAGACGAACAAGACTATCTTCAGATATTTCTGACGAATTTTCATAGACGAATTAACAGGTAAAAGGCATTGGTATCTATAGAAAATGGATACGCTCGAAATGGCTGACGTCGAAATGAGAATTGTTTGGAACGTCGCCTTGAATAGTACAGCAATGGGGGTTGCATCATGTGTGATGAAGAACATACCGTCTGCATCAGAGTGGATATGCCAAAGTTATGTAGAGGGCCTAAGGTGATAACAACGCATAGAGGATAACTAGTGACGAATTGAGAAGCCATACTACATGTGAAGGTTAGAAGACAGCTCATTATCTAAGATGAATATGTATATGTATGTGAATCTCATCTAAGACCTGATGAGTAATGAGATAGAATTTGAGATTCTCAGATTGTCTAGGCGTCTTATAACATATGAGATAAAGGACAATGATAGTTAAGAATATGGATAAGACAACAACATTATAATGATAAGCTCTATTGAAATAATCCTTATAATGAAGTAAATCGAATGAGTCGAACAACATCCAGATATTTTTATTTCTTGACAAGAGATTAGGATACCCGTAAAGTCAATATATAAATAAATAATATATATATGTATATATATATATAATATAATATAATATAAATATTAGTTTCAACTCCTGAAAAGAAAACAGTTTCAAAGATATTTTGAGTCGGTCATTCAAAGATGAAATGATGATGCACGAGAATGATAAAGAAGGAACAAAAAACAAAGAACAAGATGAAGCTTAGGCTTCACAACGAATTCCATCAAAATAGACTGAAGATCCTTCAAATCCGATCATATCAGGTCTTCGATAATCAATAAGAGAGTCTTTATAGAGCTCACATAGATTGATTTCACCTATAAGCAAAGACCTTAGCTTCAATCTCAACAAGCTTCCTTACCTTGAGATATCAGATTAGCTGATCGGCATCTAAGAGCATAACAAGCAGCAAAACAATCAGAAGCTCTTAACAGTCAATTTCGATATGATAAGTTAGAAAGTTTCTCTTACGTTTTCACATGTACAGCTTTCAATAGACGTCTTCCTTGGAAAGCTGTCTGATACAATGCACTGTAAGTACACTTGTCGAATTTGGGATAGGTTGCAGTGGTGGTTGTGATGAACGTGGATGTTTCGACAGCTTCCTGCAAAACCTGCGTTTCAAGAAGAACAAATTCCGATGATGTTTATACCGTCGATTCTGTCTGAGCTGAAACTTCTAACTCTCTCGCCTTCTCAGACTTTTCAGTGAACTTTCTGGTCTTAACTCCATGCGCTTTCTTCAAAATGGCCATCAGTTTGGAATTCTTTTCAGGAAGCCTAGGTGATCAGTTGGAAAACAAGAAAAACCAGGAAATCTTACTGAACATCATCCAATGGGATATTTTTATGTTTCTTCTCTACTGGAGCAGCTGTATGGATAGTTGTTGCTTCTGTTTCTCCAGACTTAAATTGAATTTCATCTTAAGAATCTATAACTGCACTTACCATTTCAACTTGAACATCATCATACTCAAAGTCTTTTTCTCTCAATCCCTCTGTTTCAGGAATATTTCGATTGATGAAGACCTTTCTCTGAAATTGAGACATCTTCAATGATCCCATCATGTTTGTCTGTTTTTTTTGTTTAGCGATCATACCTTTTTGACTTCTGGTTTAGGTGTCCGTTGTGGCTTGCTTGTCGTTGTTATGGTTACTGATGAAGTCACATTATCTTCAGCTGAATTGTTAACAGTTGTCGATGAAGCTGTAGCTGTTGATTCAGTTGAAGCTGTAGCTACATCGTCATCGGTTGTAGGAGCTTCGGAAGTCGTAGCCTCTGCTGTCTCTTCTGTAGCCTCTGCACTCTGTTCTGTAGCAGAATCTTCATTGCTGGTATCATCTCCGCTGTCTTCATTTTCGCGTTCTTCATCTTCCACCACCTTCTTCCTATTCCATACTTTCTTAGTTTTGACTTCCGCTTTCTTCTCATCTTCCAGCAGTTTCTT